GTGAATGACACACCTGTATACCTAAGATAGGCCTAAAGAACTTTCTTAGTAGATGAAGAATATTCATTGTTATCAATAGAGGATTCACGAAATTACTGTCACGGTGTAAGTCGTCTTATCTACACCTACACGTATGTCTAGCCTACATGTTTGCATTTATTCCTGCTGCAGAGGGAATATGTGAATTGGCAGTCATACAACCAAATGTACGCACAGCGTTAGCGCAATGCAGTTATAGGCCAGTTAGTCTAAAGACTGTGTTCCACGCTCACCTTCACAATGTGCAGTATTTGTTCTTTCCAAATCTCACTACTGTAATTTTAAAATGCCAAAATGGTGTTAAGCAGCTAGTTGTGAAAGGGCATTACAAGGCTCCTGATTACTGTGAAATCACTTGTAGTACATTACGGACCTTGCCTACTCATCAGCATTTTGCGTTAAATCGAAAACTCAAGTCTGCTTTAATTCCACTTCCTATAATGAATTTCACTGTCAAGGATATTCAAATAGTATCAGAGAAATTAAAAGTGTTAGCTTTCTTGAACGAGACACATTTTGCTGATTTGAATAATAACTTGCCATTTTATCTGTCACGGGAATTTGCACTACCAAGTCTTACGATTCCCTCTATTCTGTTAATTCTGGCAATAATGTTCCTGTTCTGTTATTACTGGGCAGTATCATCCAAATTCAACATTGTTCATAATATACTAACCCGTACGACACAAAAGTCTAGGTCCCCTGTAGTAGAGAATACCCCTACAGTAATTTCCCCAGCTTAGTGTCTACATATCTGTTTATAACATGGTTAGGGTTGTCTAGGATGTACTGTACTCTGTGAGTTATTTAGGCCTCACGGAGCTCGGCTGGTAGGTGACCGAGCGATGTAATAGGCCCCTGTCTCATCAACAGAACGTATTATATAAATGGGTCAATACATCTGATATTATATTCAGCTCGTTAACTTTGGGTGTTGTGTTGGTGACAGCTTCTACACCTTAAACAACTTCACGCCTAGGTGACCCTTGGGCCGGCCATCCTCTTTACAAGAGGGGCAACCATTAATTATTATTGGGGACGAGCTGCATCCCACCACGTGACGGCCTTCGTGTGTTACATTGTATACGTGTGTAGCCTAACCGTGAAACCCCACGTGTTTAAAAGTGTCCGAACTCAGTGTGTGTGTGTGCACAGGGTGGTATAATGCATCTAATGTGGCAGCAGGGAAGCAACTTGCGCAATCTTCCCTTGCCAGTACACAGCCTCTTCACCATTAAGACTCCTGCAGCACCTCCTCGTGGCAACACATGTTAACTGGGTGCCTTGTGGGCCTAAGCTAGACCAGCAGGGGATCTTGGAGTAGCAGTGGGCCCCAGAGGGACGTGTAATAGGCCCCTGTCTCATCAACAGAACGTATTATATAAATGGGTCAATACATCTGATATTATATTCAGATTCACCACCCTGTAACTTTCCACTGTCTATGAGTAAGACATGAGATTGACACGTGAGCGGGCAACTTACCCAAGAGGGCGAGACCCATAGCTCAGCATTCCTGTAAGCACGCACTGCGATGCCCCTAAGCTTCAGTAGCTCACCTCAACTCATATCGAAAGGACGTGACCAAACGTTTATCATACATAAACGCCGTCCCTTTCTCATTCACTCCTAGACAGTGAGACTTAAGGTTGATATACACTCAGGAATTATATATACAACCTTTTATAATAAAACAAAGGAACTACCGTTTGGGTTTCGTTACTTAAAACCCAAATATAAATATGTGTGAACGGACTGGTTAATTGGACAAGCAGCCGATTCAGACGGCGCATAGGCCCACTGGAATGTGGACATCCTGGCACCTATACCAACCACTACCTTGTGGATTAACCTTGGTAAGTACTGTATAAGGCGATGGGAATAAACCCTGAAAGAAAAATCTGAGGTGGAGCCCCTCATCAGGCAGACATGCTTACAGAGCTCCAACAAGACCCCAACGGCGGTGTAGGCGGAAGAGGTGACCACCACGGGAACCCGATGACTATGTAGTGGATTTCTCCCCTACAAACGCTGTTTGTCGCTGCATAGCCGACCCCACGAATTCCCCTGTGTATGCCTCGTAGTCTAGGTCAACCAGCTCCGCCCACGGAGCGGGGGTCAACTACTAAGCCACGCCTACCCCCCGCTATTTAAGACCTGACCTCGTGGTGATCGCTCTCTTTCTACCTACACCAACCAGCCAGTAACACCTCTTCCTCCTCTGCCTGCCTGGCGGTCCTCGCTCCCGCCGGCGAGCATGGCGACCCACAAGCTGTCCTCCTCTGAGCATCCTCACCAATCAGCTCTCTCTACATCACGCTTGTAACCATGCTGCCTTCCCAGCACCAAGCTGCATTGTACATCCAATACAATATGTATATAGAGAGCACATTGTGAGTTTCCTTTCTCCAACCATCCTGAGTGTGAACCCAAACATCCCATACCCCACAAATGGTGACCCCCGGAGATTCGCACTCACACAGGATGGAGGAGAAACAGATCACTCTCTCAGTCTTCAAGCAACATGGAAGACTGGCTTATCCACCCAGAGGCAGCTCTCATCGGCTCTACAGCTACTGTCTCTAAACCACAGGTTAGACACCCTAGAGCAGCTCTGCTACTCTAAGCAGACAGCTGCTCCTATTCCTGCCCCAACACACCCGTCCTGCCTCAGACGCCGCCCCGGCCCAGCAGTACCCCCTGCCGCTTCTCCTGACACGGCCCCTGCTCCTGAGTGCGGACCCACACACCCCTCTTTTCTCCCTCAGGTACTCCCTGCTAATGTCCTGCACCCTGCTGCTGCCATGGATCCAGCTGCTGTCACGAGCCCTCATCCACTTCTGCTGACGCAGCCCCTGCTCCTGACCCAGGCCCACACACCCCAGCAGGCGCATCTGACGACTCTGTACCTGCCGTGAGGGAAGCACAACATTCATCGCCTCCACACACCCTTTTTCTCCCTCTCTACTCCCACAGATATTGTGTATCTAGACAGTTGTCTCTAGCGACCTGCTCATCCACACCATCGCCGTTGTCTCACATGAGGCATGCACCGCCCGTTCTGCCTCACATGTGCCATGCAACCCTGCAGACAACAAGTCTCCTACACCGCCTGGAGGGAAGGAGGGAGTATTGTAGTGGATTTCTCCCCTACAAACACTGTTTATCGCTGCATAGCCGACCCCACGAATTCCCCTGTGTATGCCTCGTGGTCTAGGTCAACCAGCGCCGCCCACAGAGCGGGGGTCAACTACTAAGCCACGCCTACCCCCCGCTATTTAAGACCTGACCTCGTGGTGATCGCTCTCTTTCTACCTACACCAACCAGCCAGCAACACCTCCTCCTCCTCCGCCTGCCTGGCGGTCCTCGCTCCCGCCGGCGAGCATGGCGACCCACAAGCTGTCCTCCTCTGAGCATCCTTACCAATCAGCTCTCTCTACATCACGCTTGCAACCATGCTGCCTTCCCAGCACCAAGCTGCATTGTACACCCAATACAACATGTATACAGAGAGCACATCGTGAGTTTCCTTTCTCCAACCATCCTGAGTGTGAACCCAAACATCCCATACCCCACAACTACACCGGCAGATGAAGGCATTGCCTGATGGACAGGCTACTAAGGCGGAACCTAACAAATTGGGCTATTGGCAGTCCATTGCATCTCTCCTTCTCCCCAGTCACTGTAACACTTGCACCACTGGATCAGGAAAAGAACCAAAATGTATGGTTACGGTCTGCGCTCCTGCCTCACCACATTACTCAACTCACGTGCAGCCATCATCCAGCTCACCACACTCATCATCGTAAAAACCCCTATACCCCCAAAAGTCCTATGGCGACAGGGACAGCCAGAGATGACTGCCGGGAGTCTCTAGTCAAAAACTCTGCACATGGGCGATACAGATATGATGGTCGTTTATGCACTGGGATCTAGGCAGCAGTGCAATCCGGACTTGTCTGTGCAACTGAGCAGCCCTTTCGAGGCGATCAGTTGAGAGGTCCTTCCGTATGTTATCGTCTAGTGCCGAGAGTGGCGCCATCGTCTCTTCGCTTAGTACACAACAACACTTTCTCACTACTCTTATCACCCTCCTATAATTGCAATAACACTGCTTTTGGGGGCGGCAATAACACCTCTATCCCCAGAAAAGATAAGGTTGTACTCCTTGGTGACTTCAATTCCAGAATTGGCAGAGTTGCTAATATTTGGCAGGGAATCATAGGGAGAAATGGACTAGGCAAGAGTAATCCTAACAGCTTACTCCTTCTCAGCAAGTGTGCTGCACACAACCTCACTATCACCAATACCTTGTTTAGGCAGGCCGACAAGTTCAAGGGTGTAGTGGATTCCTCTCCTACAAACGCTGTTTGTTGCTGACGAGCTGACCCACGAATCCAGCCGCACCTCGTGTCAAGGTCAACCAGCGCCGCCTTACACGACTGAGGTCAACTATTAAGCCACGCCTATCCCCGCTATATAAGACCTGACCTCGTGGTGACCTACCTCTTTCTACCTACAGCCAGTCTTCAAGCAACATCTCCTCCTCCACTCCTGCCTGGCGGCCCTCGCTCCCGCCGGCGACCATGGCGACCCACAAGCTGGTCCTCCTCTGAGCACCCTCACCAACCAGCTCTCTCTACATCACGCTTGTAACCACGCTGCCACTTCCCAGCACCAAGCTGCACTGTACATCCAATACAATATATATACAGAGAGCACATTGTGAGTTTCCTTTCTCCATCCCATCCTGAGTGTGAACCAAATAACTCATACCCCACAAGGGTTCGTGGCAACACCCACGATCCAAACACTGGCACTGGTACAATATTTAAACATGTGTACTAACATTGTTTGAAATATCTATGTAGACACTAAACATTTTCTGGAGTCAAACTAATAACTTTCAATAAAATAAGCACCCGTTTCTCGCATAACAATGTTTCTCTCATTACAACAGGTTCAAGAATCGATACAATAAAGTATGTCTGGAGTGGAAATAAAACAAGTTGTATCAGCTGTTGATCTTGGTGAAGGACCTCATTGGGTGGAGAACAAACAGTGTCTCCTTTTTGTCGATATTGCAAATGGGAATATACATCGTTACTACCCCCAAACTAATAAGGACCAGGTTCTCCATGTAGGTGAGTAGACAATATTTTTTAATCTATGTAACAGGATCTCTCAACTGGGGATCCACAGAGGGTTTTATAGGGGTCTATGGCTTGAGAGCAAGCATGGTAAGTTAACCTTACTAAGCTACATTTACCACAGAGGTATAATTTTGAAGACGTTCAGAAAATATTTTGCATTTAACATACAGTAATTATTATACTGTTTGGATTAGTTTTCAGCAAATTTGAAATGTCACCAGAATTTTGGAATTAACTAATTGAAATCAAAATAAATCTGAAAACTCAAAGGGCAAGGGTTTACTGTATTCAAAAGAAAGGGCCTCACAAGCAGCTAAGTACTGTAACTACAAAAAGAGGAATGATGAGAAAAAGATTGAGAACCACTGATTTATATTCTTCAGTTATGAGAACAGGTAACTGGACCTTCATGTACGCGAGTGTAAGCACTAGGCATTTCATGTAGGTGTATGGGTAACAATATTTGACAACCATGGCAAACCCTTAGCACCAACTTGGAGTATTTTCATTTGTTTTCTTTGAATCTGTAATATCCAGCAATATCCTAGTTTTAATCATATTTTGGTTTAATGGAGAGATTCCACACTTGAAGTGTCTTTCAGAGGAAGGTGGGTCGGGAAGCAGTCTATCATTCGTCGTGCCTATTGAAGGCACTGAAGACTTATTGATTGTGGGTCTTGGACGATCTTTTGCTGTAGTTCAGTGGTCTGCTAGTGACCCTGATCAACACACAGTAAAGGTCAAAGGAATCCTGCATACTGTTGAGGATGCCTACCCCTTTAATCGCTTTAATGATGGCAAGTGTGACCCACAAGGCCGCCTTTGGGCAGGTGAGGATAATTTTATTTACTGTTTAGCCCACATCTCATTTCACTGAAACATATTTCTTATCTTTTATCATAATTTCCTCATCTTAAGTTACTGGATACAATATACTGCATTGTATTTACAATATAGTACTGTACATGTAATACCAAATACACTGTGTTTAACCATCCCAATTTAAGATGTAAAATGCTACGGGGAATATATATTCTGATTAAGAAATATATTCAATCCTTTATGCCCCCCTGAAAGACTGAAATGCCCTAAGGTTAAGAACCATTGGGGACCACTGTATATATATATATATATATATATATATATATATATATATATATATATATATATATATATATATATATATATATATATATATATATATATATATATATATATATATATATATATATAATATATATATATATATACAGTATAGAGCAAGAGAGCAGGGTATAGTATTAATAAAACTTATTTTCTCAACACAAAAAAGGTACAATGGATGGTGTAACAGATCATTCAAATGCTGATTTTGCAATGCACAAAAGCTCTCTGTATTGCTTGGACACTGATCTTAACCTGACTAACCAGGTTAACAAGGTGAGCTTTATATATACATATATATATATATATATATATATATATATATATATATATATATATATATATATATATATATATATATATATATATATATATATATATATATATATATATATATATATATATATATATACTATTGATGCACACTTATAAACAGTAATGAAAATAATGTACATTACATTTTTTATTTAGATGAACATAAATGTAAAAAATAGTCTGATTAATTTAGGGAAATTGGGTGAGGGTCAACCATACAGAAGCATGGTGGCAGAGATTCGATTTCTTGCTTTTGTAAAATATTAATCTTGTAATAGATCCTCAAATAATATAATTATAGCAGGGTGTTCTAAGTGTAAAGTACATAAGAACATAAGAATGGAGGAAACTGCAGAGAGTTTATTGGCCCATACTGGGCAGTCCCGTTTACACCCATCCCCTATCGCTCGTATACCCATCCAACCTGTTTGAAGCTATCCAGCGTATTCGAGTTAATGATAATGTTTGGTAACTTGTTCCACTCATCCACTACTCTATATCCAAATCAATGTTTACCTACATCGTCCCTAAATCGGATCTTAAATGAGATTGCACTTGATGTTCACAACATTCAATGGCAGGTTATTCCAAGAGTTCATAACTCTTATTCAAAAGAAGTTAGCTATAACAGTTTTCTGTACTTGTGGTTTCTTTAACTTGAAGCTATGACTTCTAGTGGTGCAGCCATCTGTTAGCTCTAGATCAGAACACTTGACTGAGTAATGTCCTTTATGGTGTTTACATAAGGCTAAATTTTCAGTTACAATATTTAATTTACCTAAGCTAAACCATGTTGCCTGTAAATATGTCCTAAGGAATATAAACACAACTAAGCCAGTAACAAATGTATGTTGTGAGAAACATGGTTTTATGAGTGAAAGAATGTTAATGCCGAAATTTATCCAATGCTTTATCCACAGTGCTCTGACAGTGGGTCACACAAAACATTACCAAATGATATTTTCTAAAAAATAAAGTACCCTGTATCTTAAATTCAAGAGGTGGGAAGCGGTGTTGTAAGCAGAAAAATTTCATCACTCAGATTTGAGATTTAAATCTGGGCTTGTATAGGCTATCCTAGGCATAGGTTATTGTAATGTAAGTAGGCATAGGCATCCAAGACCAAAAATATCTTAAAACTGAAACACAATTGGCACCAAGGTTTATAGATAAAGGATCCTCAATCTGTATTCTCAGGATGGTAGCTGTATCGTTCTATGTTGCATTTTGTGCATTTTCATTATAGGTTGGTGCAGTTGGTCAGAATCAAAAGTAACACAAACTCTTGCTGATTCACTTACCAAATATAATCAGTTAAGATGTTCCCCATTCAAAAAGGGGTTCTTGGAAGTTTGTCTAATTTGCTCTTGTTTTATACCTATCAATTATTTGTTTTTCTTTTACACTCAACCTTTCCAGCACAGTTATTCTCTCAGCACCCCTACATCTCTCAATATGCAACTCAGTCCCCCATCCACCAATCCGAAGTCTAACAATCTATTATCTTCTCCCCAGTCACACATTCATTCATGCTTATGAATTTCTTTCTCTCTCTGTTAGTCTTTTTCTCTCCATTTCTTTTCATGCCAGACATGCCATATGTATCCTTAATCCCATTTACTTCCCTATCATCTACAGCCATAACTGCATAGAAAATTTTTCATAACTATCATTTCATCTTTCACATTGTAACTCTCTATTCAGTTACTCGGGTCTTCTTACAACTTCCTTCATTCCCCTTTCTTCTCGTTTCCCGGTGTGTGAGCATCACAATGACCCAGTTGTCAAACTCCACTTTTAGTCAGCTCCAGGTTTCCTTTGAAAGTTACCACTGTATACATCACCATGTAACTCCACTTTTAATCAATCAGTAGCACTGCCTCACCATGTTTCACTCTTAAACTCTCAGGAACCTCTGAGTTTATGCCTCACACTTTCTTCAAAATCCTTTTCTTTAATTCCTCAACTTGTTCCAACATCTAGCTTATTTCATTCATAATTAACTTTAATAACTCTTCTTAGCATTACAATTACATGCAAGTACAGTTCATTCAAACACCCTAGTCTTCTTTCCTGTTTCTTCTTTTTTGATAACCGAAGTAGAAAAAGGTGAGGTTATCAAACACCTGTCCCTAAACTGAGGAAGAAAATACACCAGGTGATCTTTATAATGTTCAGTAATACTATACAGTTCTTGAATGTAAATTTAATGATGTTACAAGAAAAATTATGAGTTCACTTTGGTCCTCAATAGTCAGCACTACAGTTATGTAAATAATGAAAAAAATAATAATAAATAAATAATAAATGTTTTTCATACCTCTTTCTACTGAATATGTTTGTTGTTCATTATCAAAATATCAAAAAGTACATTACTGTTTGTGATCTTTGGATAAATTGGCATTGTGCTCTTGTATGTCTGTAAGTTTAAGTTTTACATAGATACAAATTATCTGATTTTGATTTTGACCTAATATTTGATTACTGAATTTTCAACTTTGCAGGTATCTCTTTCCAATGGATTAGCATGGAGCCCTGATCGGAAAACTTTTTACTACATTGATTCACTTAAATATTCAGTTGATGCCTTCGATTATGATGATGTCACTTATAAAATTTGTAAGTTTGTTTTGTGCTTTTTATATTTAAGTACAGCATCCTTATAGGAAATGCCTAAACATTTACATTTTTATTTGTACAGTAAAGGTGTTAGACTGTACAGTACCTAAGTTGCAATGATTTAATCTTCTAAATTTTAAATGAAACCAATATTGATTCCTTTCTCTCATCCCATGTTGGAACAGTAACTATGACAGCTGTTACAATAACTGTAACAAATGGGTAATGCTTAAGTAAAATGATCAAACCTAAATCTCTTAAAGGAAAACTTAAAAGGAAAAGTACATTTCCAAGTAGCACCAATAAGTTTCAAGTCTGTTAATAATAAGTTTTCACATGAAACAACAAATTTTTCAAAATTGAATTGTAGCCAAAAACTCCCACAAAGGGCTGAAAAAATTTGGCCAAGTGTGGGTAGAAACCAGGACATAATTGGTGAGCAGTGTGTTAAAAACAACTATGGAAAATGGGAATGTTGATAATGAGGAAATTAAGGTACTGTACTGCCACATAATTCTGTTTAATGAGGTTTATGATCCTATAAACACTGTAAGTACTATACTTCCCATCAGGTTATGTACAGCAAAAATCAAAAGTTCCCCTAAAATCCCCTGCCAGCATGATGTTTGTCTGTCCATAACACCTGCAGTCTGATCACAAAAAGACAATGTCTCCACGTGTTGGCGGAAAGAGCATCATCTGCATGTTATGAACAGAGAAACATCTGCAGGCTGGAGATTTTCAATGAACTTTTGATTTGGGATGTACAGTACCTATTATGTATAAAGGTTGCCTTCATCTATATCAGGGGCTATGTTGCTAGGTAAGTCCAGTATAGGCAAAATTTGTTTTGATTCCAGCCTCAGATGAAGTCCCTCTTTTGACAGTGATTCTGTTAGGCAAGTGTAGAGAACTACATGGTCAGTACAGTACTATTGGTTCAACCAACAGGTCCATTGATTGAAGTGTTGTTGGGAAATGTGTTATCTACTGTTACCCTACCAAACATCACAGCTTTCCTCCAGGTACTCTGGTTTCCTCCTGTGCTAACACTAGACAACAAAGTTCATTAACAAGAAACAGACTAACTGTCTGCACAAGTAGTAATCATTTAAGTAGTAAAAAAAAAAAAAAAAGAGGGGTGGAAGGACCAAGTCATTTAGGAGTACAGTACTGTATTGTACATATTATTAAGAAGTTCGGTCTTGAAACTGAGGTTTGAGTCATGGCTGCAGCGCTCCAGCTATTCAAAAAGTTTTGCTTTGATATTGGCTTACCATTGAACTGTTTGAACAGGTGGGCTATGATGGCTGAGACTCATTATTATAACCCAGGAATTCTGGGAATGGTACACGAGCAGTAGCTTGCATCCTGGTGGTGCCTTTGAGCCAGTGTGCTCAATTTGTTTTTCCACGACAAATTATGCGCTGGGAAGATGACGTCACAGTGCACAGATGCGTAGATGATATCTTTAGCCCAGTACTGTATACATGAAATTTGGGTGGTAAAAAGTTAATCTGGCTTTAAGTAGTCAGTACAATATAAATGAGAGAAAAATATCATGTAAAGCTATGAATGTCTTTTTAAGGAGAGTACAGTTCACTAATAGAAAAGAAGTTCATATCACTTGTGACTCTGATATTGAATATTTAGAAATTATTAGTAAGTGCAATATATGGTAGTTTTTTTACAAATAAATTTACTGTGATCTTAAGAACCATCATAGATGGCGGCTAAAAGTTAGTTGGTTTTTAAATGTTTCCACAATGACCTGACCTGCTAACAAAAAAGCCTCAGTGACATTACAGCTGAGCCCTCCTATTTTTATTGGTTTATTCTCGCAATGACCAGACCTGACAATCTGTATAAAAGCTCCTACTGATTGCTGTGTAAGCACAGTTGTGCTTCAAATTGAAGTGAAAACACCAAGATGAATAAGAAATGGGTAAAAAGAATTTAAACCGACACACACAATAAATTTGAATGTTTCAAAATGTTTATTTAACTTTTCTTATTAAAAAAGGTTAAGCAAATTTCTTCCAAAATTTGTCAGGGGTTAGTGAAAATTTCAAAAGTCATTTGCCCAGGACAAGTCAATGTTCCACATATCTGTTCAGCTTGCTTGATCAGCAGTAGGTTACCTATGTATCTTCATCATGATTCTGAAGTTTAAGAGTAAAGGTTGAAGATAATCCTTTGTTAAATTACCACATAACTAAAACACTTAGATAACCAAAGAACATGTTTCATGATAAAAAGTACAGTCACATAGTTAAAGACAAAATCTTCAATTTTTCGACCTTCAAAATAGCATTGATGTAAATGTAATCTATTATGCAGGTAATCGTCGTACTGTGGTGGACTATAAGGCAGCTGGGCTGGAAAACGACATCCCTGATGGAATGTGCAACGATGAAACTGGAAATCTATGGGTTGCTTGTTTCTCTGGCAATAAGGTACGAGTTTCTCCTGGTTAGCCACCATATTTATGATCATATAAACTTAATGATGAAGAGTAAAAAAAACCCTGCAGATGTGAAATGTATTTCCTACCCAATAAGGAGTCACCAGACAAACATTTCATACACTTTGAATTCTGTTTTACAGATAATTTGTATAGACCCAAAAATTGGCAAGATTGTCCGTACAGTGGAGTTACCAGCAAAAAACATTACTTCAGTCTGCTGGGGAGGAGCTGATTACTCAACTCTTTTTGTAACATCTGCCAAAACATACCATTCAGCAGAGGAGCTGGCAACACAACCAGCAGCAGGGTGCACATTTGCCATCACTGGTTTGGGAGTCAAGGGACTCCCACCTACCAACTTTAAAGCTGATCTTCAAGTGTTGAAGAATAAGATTGCCTCTTGTGGCATGTGAAGTTATAAGCTTTATATATATATATATATATATATATATATATATATATATATATATATATATATATATATATATATATAGTATATATATATAACTCCAGACCACTGGTTAGGACTAAATCCAGGTAGAAGTCCGACATAGATAAAATTTTTTTTTTTTTAATAAAAAATCTACAATGAAATACAGTACAGTAAAAGTAATGAATAATGATGAATGGATACAGTACAGTGAAAGTAATAAATAATAAGGAATGGATACAGTGTGACTTTAACTCTGACCTGACTTAAAAACTAGTTTCTATATCTGAGGCGGTCGTAAGTCCCGACGGTCGTAAGTCCACGTAGTCGTAAGTCGGGGTCTAGGTGTGTATGATAGTTATTTTGTGGGTCCCTTTTTTCTGACCTGACTTGGCTAGTCACGTCATCACCCTTCTCTTAAGCTCCTCTACGTGTGTGTTGGTGTGGGGATTAGTGGATGTCATCATTTTAACCTGACCTCATGTTTTTAGGTCACCCTGTATATTTAAGCCTCTCTCTGTCCATGTAATCCAGTTGCCTCTGAAGATGTCTTGAATAAAGACGAATATAATATATATATTTATATATATATATATATTATATATATATATATATATATATATATATATATATATATATATATATATATATATATATATATATATATACACTGCTCAGTATTTTTTGTTGTAACTCATTTATTGGTATTATTTTTTTTATTCCTCACATTTCCTTTTACCGTATATATTATCTTGAGAAAACTATGGCTACAGGAGGAAAACACACTTTTTTTTCTTCTAAATACTCCCTGCTGAAATGGGGGGTGTCTTATATGGCCATGCGTCTTATATGCTGTCATCTCCCACAGCCATATGCCCTTACACTCACTGTGGGTTTTTTCTAAGCCAAGCGCGTAAAGTTGAATCTGCATAATTCAAATGCATGTAAGATGCGACATGACTGTACTATATTACCTCCAGTGACAAGACGTGAAGAAATTTTGAGAGCAAGCAAGGTTATCAGTTGTCTACCCAAGCTGAACAAGAAATAAGTACACCTGAATAAATTAACTGGAAACATGTAATTAAACAAACAAAACTTAGGTTAATAATCTTCTGTACGTGACAGACGAGTACCATCCTCAAAACAAAGTATGGTATATAACGGTAACAATATTTAGCACAATAACTGAGTTACCTGATAATACCCTGCAATCTGTTACTCTACTCATGGATAAAGCATACTGACAATGAATGAAAAATGTTTATTTACAATGAGCTTCATACAAACACAATTAATAAAGTTTTACTGCCTGCTATGGAAACTTTTAAGGAATGATTGCTCAACAAATACCCACGTTTGTAGTATAGTACAACTGCCATTCTATAACATTAATACTTACAATTTATATGTATATATAAAAAATCTAAAAATTTTTACTTTTTTAATAATTATAACTTCTCATTACGAAAGTCGTTTTTTCATAATAAATTAAAACCTCAATTATTGCAACACTTTATACTGTACAACTATAACAAACGACTTAAAATACCCTTCTTGTTCATGTCATCATACTTCTTCATGTTGACAGCAATACTAGCAGTTACTTGTTCAGCTGTCTTGTTCTGCCCATAATAGTCCACAAAGTCTCCATCAGGATTCACTAAGTATATGATGATAGTATGGTCCACCTGAGGCAAAGAACAAACCAAATAAGAACAAATTGTTTTATCCCGCTCTCATGTTAGTTATCAAACAAGTATATTCAGTAATAGCATGACACCACCACAAATTACTTCCCTTTTCTGACACTCAAAGAAGGGTGGTACAGTATATGTTGAATCCGTGCATACCCAAATATTGTATCACAGACTCAGTACAAACCATCATCTTTATCATTACCATTTTACAGTCATTTTCCTTGCCTACATGGGATAGCCCTGATTACAGCTCTCCAAGATGCATGATCTTTTGTAGCCTCTCTCATCAGATTCTTATATCTAAGGCCATTTCTCATAACCTCTCTTACCCTTCATATTCTATCTTGTGCATCTCTTGACCCAATAATTAGTCTCTTCCACTCTTTCCACTTGCCCAAACCATCTTAGTCTACCTCTTGCCCAATCTCCCACTGACAATCTCCAGACCCAGCTGCCCTCTTGGCTCTTAATGTCACATTACACATCCACCTCACCATTGTTTTTTCAACTTATTCAAGCCTAAATAAGTGAACCTCTTTAACTTCCTGTGTTTCATATCCAAACAATATCACACTTCTCACATCAGTTACATTAATACGCTTTCTTGCAAGTACCGGTACATGTAAAGACAAGGCCCTCTCACTGTCAGTAAAGGCAATAACTCCCTAAACGTCTTTCAGTCAATCCTGTCTATTACAACCGAATATGCTTTGTCACCACCTCCAACACTGATCATTTCACTCATCAACATTATCCAGGGATATACAGTATCCCCAATGTTGAGCTTTTCTTGCCTTGCTACAGCCACATTACTTGCTAAGCCATTTTTCATGGCAGCTTACTTATCAATAAAAAGAAACTAAATTCTTTAACTGCAAAAAGTAGTAAAAATTGAAAGAGGTATAAAACTTCAAGAGGGTTGTCCAGGATTATTTAATGTGTTTGTTATCAGCAGATGCATAACAATCTGAAAGTTGCCCTGTAAAAGAACTAACAGATTTGGAAAATTTATTTTTACCAAAGCATTAATTCCTTGCCAGTGAGGTTCAGTCAACTGTTTACAAAACTTACCTATCTAAAAGGCACAATTTCCATTATTATTATTTTTTTACAACATCAACATTCACACCTTGAAAACTGCCAGTAATTATTTGAAACGGCAGTGATATAAATTTCAAAAGGAATTAATGTACATTTAAAGTACAGAACAAGATAACAGTAGAACGTCGATTTAAAGCGATTCAATTTGAGATCATCGATTTAAAGCAACACCTACAATTAAGTTCAATGTTGTGGCAAAGAGAAAGGGAAGAGAGATTATTGACTAAAGGAGAAGAGTTAATAAGGTACAGTATAGTCATTACTGTACTGTATTGTACTGCATGTATCCAACTACAGTACTGTATTGTATTATGTTTATTTATGGCTTATATTCATTGTGTACAGTGTTATCCTATAATGTGAGTTTTCATAATGTAAATTGGTTATACAGTAATGCACCAGTGTACTGTACTGTATTAGGGAGAAAAAAAATTTACAACGTGAAATGCAAATTGGGTACAACTATGTCGTGCAAGTAGGAATATGCAGTTGTACAGTACAGTATAGCTGCCTCTGTGTAGTGTCACACAAGGGGGTATGTGGGTGGACGCTTCTAGATGCACGGCAGCAATTTGGTAATGAAAAATCCACTTGGTAATAAATAAATATGATTTGGCATTAACCCTCAATAAACTCAAAGAAATAAGTGATCAGAAAAGATGCACTTGAATGAGGGCAGTGATGATTTCATTGCCCCATATGAATGAATTATTACTGATTCAGTGTAAACAACTTTATCTACACTTAAGTTGTATGTAGGTGAGGTATTAAGCTAATTGCTGTTTTCCTTCACACACAAAAAAAGTTTTACTCTACTGTATGCTAAAAAAATTTGGTATTGAAACACTCGATTTGGTAATGAATCTCAAGGGATCTGGTAATGGCGAGAACATTAGATCTGGCAATCCCACAAACCTCAGCTTTGTTCACCCCTGCTTACATATCACATGTGTTCCCTTTCATAAAAAGAGACAAACTTTTACTATATACTGTACAGTATATAATAAGTAATGTATCCAAAAGTATGTACAGTATTAATCAGAAATATAATCAGCATTGTCAAGAGACAAGTCTACTTACTATATAGTCATCATCATCATCCCTGGGCCCAGCACTGAAGTATACTCTGTAAGCGCGGCAGGCCTCCGAAATCTTCTCATCTGACCCTGTAAGACCTAACATCTTTGGATGAAACTCCTTTAAATACTCTCTAATGGCCTCCTTGCTATCTCTGTGTGGATCCACTGTGATGAACAAAGGTTGGATGTTGGGTGCATTTTCCATTCCATCTAAAAAAAAAAAAAAATATTGCGTAAGGCTTTCTTAAAGACTCAACAACCACAATATGTGAACTTTGATATTAAACATCAGCCAACTTGCTAAAAAAAGTCTTAAGTTAAGTCAAATACCACTCAAATTTTCTTATAAAACATTACAGGAATTTACCTATAGCATCAACTACAGCAGCCATCTTCTCCAGCTCATCAGGACAAACATCTGGACAATGTGTGAAGCCAAAGTAGAGCAGAACCCACTGGCCTAGAAAATCTTCACTCTTTTTGGGATTACCATTATGGTCAATTAAGTCAAAGTTTCCACCAATGCTGGCCTTTCCTAATACTCTTTTCCTTTCTCTGGCAAGAGCTAAAAAAAATAGTAATAATTAAATCAGAACATGGTTATTTTTGTAAAAGGTAATTGGAATGTAAAAATCTAAGAAGACTTACCAGAAATTATATCTTACACAAAATTCTCCTATTACAGGTACAGTACTTTAGGATATATAAATAAATATCATATATTTATTAAGAACATACCAAAGCAATCAATGTTATGTTCTTAAAAAAATATTTGATATTTTACTAATAATACATATCTATCTTTCAAATCTTTCAACATCTAAGACAGTAGTAATTATGTTGTCATAAATTTATTTCAATACTGTGGTCCCTCGGTTAACGAGCACCTCGGTTAATGAGATTTCGGTTAACGAGTTACCTTCCATAAGATTCTTAACTTCGGTTAACGAGCAATCCCTCGATTAACGAGTTTCTTACGAGCTGACCTGAACATGTTTTCGCTTGCATTTGGCAGTCCACCAGCTGTAGTATTAGTCCGCCAGTACAGTAATCGGTTCTAGGGTTTAAATTCCTTACCATTTTAGTAAATATCAAGAAGTTTATACTATTCAATAATTTTAAAAGTTTAATATTAAATTTTTTAGTAATTTTAACAATTATTGAACATGCCATCCAGCCTGTCAACACACCATACAGGAGTCAGACTTTGTGTCTTTTCAGTGGAGGTAATATCTTGCTTGAGACTCTCTTCAACTAAATGCTTTTTTCTGTGTTTGCAAGCAAATTATTGGTCATTTTGAAATTTATTTTACATATTGACAATATATAATGCAGTGCAGTGTTGATATAAAGAACAATCTTGAATTACACCAAGAGAACTAAAATTTTATGGGTGAAATGGCACCATGGGGTGACTTCTTTTCCACCCCAATGCCTTCTCTTCTCCTCCACCCCCATTCTAATTCCCATCATCATCATCATCCAGGAGCCTTCTATATACACACCTCAAAGTAAGTTTACTTTTCTACCTTTTTTGTTGAATTTAGGCAATTTTCGGTGAGCTGGAACCAATTACCCCAAAACCCATTGAAACAATGGTTTCGGTTAACGAGTTTTTCGGTTAACGAGCAACCGTCTAGAACGGATTGTGCTCGTTAACCGAGGGACCACTGTACTGCACAATTAATAAACAAAGAAATTTCAATAGTTTAATAAAAATTAATTATAGTACAATAGGGTCAGGATATACAGCAACTTTATATAAATTTTTTTTTTTATATCACGGCTACCAAAATTATCAACATTTTCCTATACTGTATACAGGTATAGCGATAATTTTTTTTATTTTGCGAGGGAAATTGAGCAGGAAATATTTCAAATTTGTCACTACAGTAGGGTCGGGATATATCGCGAGATAAAGGTCCAACGATGTTCGCTATACAGCTTCTCCCCGACTTACGACAGGGTTAGGGACCCAAATCCAGGTCGTAAGTCGAAAATAATTAAATAACACATAGAAAATCTAAAATGGGTGTCTCTTTTTCCTCTCAGCACCACAAAACTCTCACTTTTAAGCTTGCCAGCCATTTGAAAGTGAATTACAAACGAAAATTTTGTCAGTAAACAGCACAATTTGACAAAATTTTAGTACGACTGAGGCAGGTCGTAAGTGAGGGTGGTCGTAAGTCGTGTAGGTCGTAAGTCGGGGAGGAGCTGTATACTAAATCGCGATATATAATTTCATGTAATCAATGGGGAAATTAGGGTTAGATTCTGGAGGCCAATAAAAATGACTAAACTTGACTTAATAGAGTTTATTTTCTTACTAACTAGAGCACCAATGAACACTAGACTTGGGAACAACAGGCTGTTTCAATATCAATGAATATCAGATTCAACAGCTGACGCACCATCCCAGGAACATCAAACTAGGCAGCAGGCGACACATTGCCACCCTCACTTGACAATCCCACACCTACATAAACGAACAAACCAAAAATATTAGTTACAGTATTAAATCTTTTCCATGAAGCTCTCCATTCTCTTCACTTCAATTTTCACGTCACTAGCAACCCATTTACACTCACTTTAGAAGTTGTAATCTGCAGCAGAGTCGGCTGCTTACTTGTCACTAACTCAGAAGGACTGTGCTGGTGACAGGGGCAAGCGTGAATGAGTGAGTGAACAGCCACGGTGGCGCCTCTGGTGAGCAAATAACGCATTTGTTTGCCATAGTGTTAATTTGAAATGTTTCCTACCCGATTTCCATTGTGAAATAAGTAAATTTATCGCTATACAGTATACTATTGGAAAATGACGATAATTTTGGTAGTCGCGATATAATTTTTTTTTTAAATCGCAATACTGTATATCACAACCCTACTGTGCTACCAAATTTTTGAGATTTTCCAATATACAGTAGACTCGCAACTTTCGCTAGGGTTACGTTCCTGGGACCTCCTGTAAAGTCAGAAACACTTCTAAATCTTAAATATACACTAGAACTCATAAATCACTACTGTAATGTGATACAGTACAGGTGATTAATTTTTATTTCTTGTGCAAAATATATGACGTTTATATTCAAATTAGCCGTTGTCTTGCAAGGATTCTAGCAATGCAAATTATATTCTCCTAACAAAAAGAGAGAAAGTTCTCTCCTTAATGCCAAGGCAGGTAAATGAGGTAGGCCACCTACTATTTGAGGTAACATGTCTTACCTCAAAACTATGGCTTAGTAGTTAAGGTCTGATTCTAACTGAAACCAAGAAATAAGCAAATGCCTGCCTACACAGTCTGGTTCTGAAAATATGAAACCCAAGATTCTGAGACATACTAGACTAGGGAAGAATTCCCATCAAAACAAATAAGTAAACATGAACCAGGACAGAGCTCTCCTCCAATTTCCTTGGTCCAATTCCCTTCAAGTTAAAATCCCTAAAATGATGACAGATCAATGCACAAAACAACACTTGCCTTGGTGACCTGGAATGGCACAACTGTAGTCTTGACATTTCACTGCAAGAACCATTGTGAGCTGACTTTAAATAAACCTAATATTGTGCCATCATTATGACAAATGACATCATCATCATCAGAGAGTATCCATTCTTCATTTCAGTGATGATCCTCTGAAGGATTCCAAAATGCTATATGATTGGGTATGAAGGAGCCCCTTACCCCTTCACTATGGGGACCCCACTTTTTATATTTTATTTGGTTAATGCTAGGTAATTTTAATCAGCGCAGAGACCCTCGTACACAAGGGGTTACTAGCTCCCAGACAGAGAATAGCACACACAAATCAGACTTACCCTACAGCAGGCTTCAAGGTTTATACAGTATTCCCAAGATGGAACTGTCCTCATACCCAACTCCTTAAGGAACCTAGTACTGTATCTCTCTAGTAACCATAAACCAGAGCCCACAGTAATTTCCCCACAAAACATCAAATACAGTATGTATTGGGCTCAAAGTGCCCCATTTTTAGATCAAACTAATATTTTTCATTTCACAAACCATACACCCATCACATTTACAAAATCTATCTTCCAAGAATAGTAAAATAAACCATAAAATTTGGCTCTTTCTAGACACAGTGTTGGTAAAGGCCAAGAGAATCAACGAGTTACTAAATGGATCATTAGCTTATTGAAGTGTGTGGCATAACCATTATACAGTACTCTCCTAGTTTTAAACCTTACAGGATTGATGCACTTAGCTGTAGCTATAAACACAGAGATATCAGGCTTCTGTCTATCTTCAACCAGGGAGATGATTGACGAATGAACACAAGGCTGTATGGTCCAGTGTGCCTATTATCATTCAGTTCTCTTCCTCAGAGCCGTCACCACTGAACCCCTTTTTTAAAGGTTATAAAGTATTTGCAATGAGAGATGCACAGTAACTGTACTAATGATTTAATGCCAGCTATCAATGCTGAGGGTTCACTTGGGTTGTGACTGGTAGACTTGATGGGTACAAAACATGAGTCTCCTTGGTTTTGGTTATTCAAAACCTGGATACTAGGAAAACTTAGAAATATTATACCTTAAATATAATCCATACAAAACAAACAACAAGTGATGTAAAATAACAGAAAAAAATAAATGGGAAACATTTTCATATAGCTGTGCTAAGACAAGTACAGTATAAAATGCCAATACATTATCTGTAAATACATTTAAAATATAAATTGAAAGCAACATTGCAGGCATTGTTCAACAGTACAGTGCATTCAAAAATATATATGTTAATTAAGGTACAGTATGTATTGCATATAAAAAAATTTAAGCCATAATAACAAGAGTAAAATATAACAAACCTAATTCTTTCTCTTTTCTAACATACTGCATGAAACCCAAAACACTAGCCCCAATAATTCCTGTGGCTAGGAGGGACTTCCAGGTTATTGGTCCCTTCCCCTTGCTTCCAGCCTCCTTCCTTGGTGGTTGACTCTTTGGTGGTACTGTAGATAACAATCTATGATTCACCATAATTCTTGAAGATTTTGGATATTTCTGGGAATAAAAGGAAACACATAAAACATAGAGTTAGTCTTTATTTCCACATCCCTCCATAAATCCAACATATACTTTCTTCTTCTTCTCTTAGCTTCTGTCTATACTCTGCCTTAATGCGAATATTTGATAATACAGCAATAGTAGTAATAATAATAATAATAATAATAATAATAATAATAATAATAATAATAATAATAATAAAAATACAGTAAGAATAATAATAGCTGCTCTTTTGTTTCTCAAAAGCACCAGTTCTTTTATAGAAGTCACTAGTACTTGAAATACTATAAAGTCAAGGACGTGAGAATAAAAAATAAATAGCTACAGTACAATACAGTAAGATCTTGTATTCGCGAGTAATATAGACTGGAAAAATTGCGCCAAATTAAAATTCGCCAAATGCAAATACATAAACTAATGGGAAAAATAACAATATAGACTGGCCACTCTACATCAACCTCTGATTTTCCCATTTATAACCTCCAAATGATAAAAATTCGACCTTTATTGACCTGACTGTGTTTTCCGGAAAACCAGTACCGGGTAATCTTTCTTATCTCACTAGTTTTTAGGCCTTCCTCAATTAACTTAATCACACGCTGCTTATCCTGCATCGAGTACTTGGCAAACTTAACTCCCTTATGATCGTCCCGCTTCTCCTTTTCCTTATTTGGCCGCTTAGGTGAGTCTGTCCCACCCCCACCAACACCAGTCAGACCCCCAGTAGAGGTTGAGGTCATTATCTTGACTCGACAGGTGGTTACACCAACCAAAATAGCATACAATAACAGCCCGGGCGGTTGCTAGGATGGCGCGGGCTACAGAGCGATAGTTGCATTCCTGTAAACCACTTTTAAGTTCACCACCGGCAATTCAATCACCAGAACGCTTCATGGAAACATTCTTCTTACCTTGTCTTTCCATATTCATCGCTAACACAACAAAATTGGAGATAACAGCAAAAATCACGGAGCAATCGACAGAAACTGCGCGATTCAACTGATCACGTGATGTAAAGAGAGCGCTGGTGTAAGCATTTATTAGTCCGCTTTGCGAAACATTCTTTATACTTACTCTTTTCATACAGTATATTTATGGGTAACAGCTAAATTTGCAAAAAAGAACGAAATTTACAGAGTAACTCTCAAAAAACACTTCACAAACAAAAGACACAAATCAAATGAACATGTGATGTTGAACGTGAACTGTAAACATTGCCTAACCCCACGCCACGCTTATGATGTTGAGGATGTAATCAAAACATTGAGGATGGAATCGTGCTATAGCCAACATTCGTATGCAAAAGTTCGCGTTTTACAAACAGCATTCCCCTATTCATCAATTGAGGTTACAACTAATTCGCATTGACAAAACACGAGTTGTAGCAGAAAAGACTGTAACAGGTATGAGGGCTGTGATGTCATTCAAGACAGTGGCCAGCATTTCGCGTTCATCTGCGTGTACATCGCGAAACTCACGATATTTTACGCCAAACATAATACTTGGTTACATTAGGTAGTTCTCGCGAAATTCAAAAAAGCAAAATGAAATCTCGCAAAATATGAGATCTTACTGTACTACAAAAAAAATCACAAAAGGTGTGTCTGTATATTCTTAAATAGCAGCTGTGTATACATTTACCCATCTTATTGTTTGATTTGGTTAGGTTAGTTTAAGGTTAGGTTAGGTGGTAGTATTATCATTTTGGTCATCGAGCGAATTTTAAGATTTTAAGTTCTGGAATCAGTAGTTTAGGCAATTCTAAGACACTTTTCTTCAAAAGCATTTCTGTTGGAAATTTATATTTTTCGAGTATTTTCCTAAAATTTCGCTGGACGACCGAAACAATTTTTACCAGGTTAGGTCAGGTTAGGTTAAGTTGAAACTTTAAATAAACTTTTAATGCAATGAAATTGCGGCATTTTAAAATTCGTTTTCTATGAAAAATCAGCGGCAGTATAGTCGTCAATAATTACCAAATTTAATACCGGGTAACTTATGCAAAAAATTACCGGTCCGACTAATTACCCAAATGTAGCCAAATGTAGCCGCAATGAAGTGAAATAATGGTCCTACATGAATAAATCGGATTGCTAATCACTTCTCGACTAGTATTTGGTGTCAGAAAGTCACAAAAAATTGGAAAACTTACTTTAATCTGAGTTAATAAATCGCGTGCATGTACCGAGGGAGCGAGGAATTACCCAAATGTCGCCGCAATGAAGTCAAATGATGGTCGTACAAGTGTTATTCGGGCTGTGAATCACTTCTCGATTATTATTTGGTGTCATAAAGTCACAAAAAATTGGTAAACTAAATTTAATCTGAGTTGTGTTGTGTTAGGTTAGGTTAGATTAGGTTAGGTTAGGTACATGCACTTGATCTATTAACTCAGATTAAAGTAAGTTTACCAATTTTTTGTGACTTTCTGACACCAAATACTAGTCGAGAAGTGAATAGTAACCCGATTTATTCATGTAGGACCATTATTTGACTTCATTCCGGCTACATTTGGGTAATTAGTCTGACCCAAAAATCACTACCACCACAACGGTAATGGTGCTATTCTCAGTCATTACAAGTTTTATTTTAAGTCTTTTTATCTTATTAACCGATCTGGTGAGTTTTCAGACACACAGATATCACTGTAATATGTAGATAGACAATATTTAATAAGAAAGTGATCAATAAAGTTCATACCAGTTTATCATGAACATAACAGTGAACACTAGATAGGTACAATACAGTATTAAATTAATAAAATACATTGAATACCTGAAAAAATTGTAAGACTTCCTTCCTCTGTAGATAACCAAACTGCTTTGTTATACAGCTTAATAGTTGCACTGACATAACCATTCTTACACACCACAACTCAACACAAAATTAATGTAGAATAGAATTAGTCCACTACTGAGCTTGTTACATCAGCAACTTAATGTAAATATTAGAAATGAACTGAGAAACTATTGGCTATACTCTCAGGTTGAAGAGTGATAGTCCTACATGATAACTTTATTTCAATTTTAATTAGAAATTCATGGAAGAGATGGCGCTAGAGAAGGTGCACAACCAGAGCCATAAGATTTTTTTAGCATTTTTCTTGACTGAGACTAGTAGAGTACAACAAATGTTTTGGCAGTAAAAATCAATGTATAAATGCAAAAGCCAGGAGCAAAAAGCGTTTGACCATCAATGTTCTTTAATTTTTGCCCATATAGCCAGGGAGCAACCTACAGGGTTCTATATAAACATCTACATTTGGTAATTGTTCCTCAAAAACCCATAACATTAATTCTTTCAAATATCTTCTTTTTTCTAGAGCAGCTTCTTATATTGCATAATGGTGATAATGAAAATTTGGATAAATGTATAATTATTACGTTGTTCCTCGTTACAAGGGTGAGCAGGGCATCACAGCTGGGGGGGAAATTATGGAATTATAAGCAAAACAAGAAGAACCTAACCTAACCTAATCTCATTATGCTCACTGTGATTTCATTAGTAAATATTCCACAAACAACGGCATATGAATTAGGCCGACACCGGTGATTTAGTCTCGTTTGTCGCGGAACATTAGCACTAAATTGATATGAAAAAACACGAACAGGGTTAATATCCCGGAAATTTCTAGATATTAAAAAAAACGGCCGGGGGGAGATTTAAGGACACCAAAGTTAGGTTAGATTAGCATTAGTGTGTTTAATCACCAGGGATTCCTAATCTTCATGAGGTCCATTATTCCTATAGGTATTATTATTGCACACTTAGAGAATAATAAAGTAGTGTCCTTTCTTCATTCTTTTACCTTACTAATTTCATAATATTAATTATTATTATTATTATCATACATCGTTCCTTAGGTTAAACTAAAGTCCGTGCCAAGGGAGTACAATAATTTCAAAATTTAGTTATCACACAGGAGAGCCAAGTGATACTAGCCATTGAGGCAGTTGGCATAATCTATCCAGTGCGTTTATCACTAGCCATTGAGGAGGTTGGCATTACCTATCCAGTGCGTTTATCGTCTATTGAACCTTACACCCTTAACGTGCGTCCATCAGCGGGATTACGTGGTATATATTTCCTTACGTAACATTTAAATCCTTACTTATAATACCAGTGTTTTAGAAATCCCCCAAAATTTTAGAAATACAACCCTAAGGCCTGGTTGTGAAACATGGCAGACAGTGGGTTTTATACGTTCTTTACACCACCCACTCAGTGTTTTGAGTCATGTACTAAATTATGGAAGACAGAAGATTTCAGTGAGTTAATTTCTATATTGTGTATCTAATGTAGTTCTCTCTAATATAAATTATGTAGCATAGATTGTCAGTTTCATAATACTGAAGAGGAGTTAAGGTGGTGGCACATTGGGCACTTTCCTCCAAGTAAAAATGTAAAAATCATGAAACCATAATAATTTAAAATGTAACACAAACGGTGACATTTTTATTTATTCGTCACTTTAAAACTTCTTTAGTATCATTAAATAATTATTCATTACTGTTAAACAAACTTCACGACGTAATTTAGCTTTTGCAGATGGGCCAACAAAACATCCCAGGTCAGGTCAGATCAGGTCATAATGATGGTGTGGGGATTAGTGGATGACATCATGACCTGACCTCATGTTTTTAAGGTCACCATGTATATTTAAGCCTTAACCTTTCTACAGGTTAGGTAAGGTTTTCAAAGGTTTGTTTGGTGTTCTTTTTAGTACTTTACCCCACATTTTCTGTCTACCAATATCGTTGGTAATGTGGGGGTGGGGTCATATCGATTAAAATACTGTACTGTGCTCAAAAAAAAAAAAATTGCGACAGACACGTAATAAAATTCAGTATTTTTGTTCTTCTTTCTCCCACATTTTCTTTTTTCTGTGCTCTCTGTTTTTGCTGTTCAACTGGTTACGTGATACAATTTTTGTTTTCAGTCTTTAGTATCTAAATTTGTTTAATGTAAAACCATTGTATGTTGATAGGGTTCAGTTTTTCCTTCATTATTTTTTACACGATATAATGTTTTTTATAGGTTTCTTTTGGAGATTAAATTATTTACAAACCAGCATTTAAATCGTTCATCAACAATGCAACCAGATTTAATCTTACTACCTAACCAAACATAGCGCTCTTAAATTACGTTTTATTGTTGGGTTTTGGTATGGTCATTTTGCCCTGTAAGTCGAAATTTCTGAGGTATGTATGGGGGATCTTTAGGTGAGGAACTTTTCTTCTGTACAATTAACCTTTAAAGCAAAAAACGATTTAGGTGCACATATACGGCAAAGAAGTACCATAACTAACTGAAGCATACTCGTTTGTTTTATTTAATTCATTACGCCATGCGGTTAAACATACTTTGAAGTAGTCAGAAACAATGGTTGCTAGCGAACATGGGTAGTTTAGGGCTCTTACCTTTGTTTCTTTATAATAATAATGTCGGGTGGTGTTCCTTGCTTTTCACTGCAGCCTGCGCTCCTGTCTCACCACATAAATCAACTCACGTGCAGCCATCATCCAGCTCATATCTCCCATCATCATCAAAACCCCTATACCCCTAAAGTCCTATGGCGAGGGAGACAGGCAGAGATAACTACCGAGAGTCTCTAGTCACAACTCTGCACATGGGCGGCACAGATAAGATGGTCGTTTATGCACTGGGATCTATGCAGCAGTGCAAAGTAGGCCTGTCTGTGCAATTGAGTAGCCCTTTCGAGGCGATCAGTTGAGAGGTCCTTCCGTATGTTATCGTCTAGTGCAGAGAGTGGCGCCATCGTCTCTTTGCTTAGTACACAACACTTTCTCACTACTCTTATCACCCTCCTATAACTGCTATAACACTGCTTGTGGGGGCGGCAATAACACCTCTATCTCCAGAAAAGATAAGGTTGTACTCCTTGGTGACTTCAATGCCAGATTCAACAGACCTAGAAAGGTAAAACCTACATATACATAAATATGACTTTATTTTTTTTTTAAGAACTAGGGAAATTAATGCTAATATTGCTTTAACTGTCGACAGAGAAACACGTGCAGGAGATGATGCATGTTCTGTTGGCCGAAAACCAACGGGAGAAGCAGCAGGTTCATCCGTTCTTAACAGTGTTGCACGTTGAGTCTGCTATGTTCTTCATTTGGCAAGTCATCGACTTTTTCAAACTATCGGCCGAGGTTCGCTACATCGCTTTCGACATCTTTCAGCGGTAAGTATGTGACCGCGTTATCTGCGTACACGTATGTGGGTCTTCTGGTGGTTCAAGTGTGGCTTGTCTGGGGTTTCACGTACTGGTTCATGTGATTCATATGCTGGTTCATCTGGTGATTTATGTTGTTCGTCTGGTGTTTCATGTGTAGTATTTGTATGGTATATTTGGTGCTTCATATGTCCGTTTTTTGTCCACCTGTAGGTTCTTGTGTGTGGTCCACCTGTAGGTCCTTGTGTGTGGTCCACCTGTGGGTCTGTGTGTGTGGTCCACCTGTAGGTCTATGTGTGTGGTCCACCTGTAGGTCCTTGTGTGTGGTCCACCTGTGGGTCTGTGTGTGTGGTCCACCTGTGGGTCTGTGTGTGTGGTCCACCTGTAGGTCCTTGTGTGTGGTCCACCTGTAGGTCCTGTGTGTGGTCCACCTGTGTGTGTGTGTCTCTGTGTGTGGTCCACCTGTGGGTCCTTGTGTGTGTGGTCCACCTGTCTGTGTGTGGGTCCACCTGTGTCCTTGTGTGTGGTCCACCTGTGGGTCTGTGTGTGGTCCACCTGGGTCCTTGTGTGTGGTCCACCTGTGTGTGTGGTCCACCTGTAGGTCTATGTGTGTGGTCCACCTGTAGGTCCTTGTGTGTGGTCCACCTGTGGGTCTGTGTGTGTGGTCCACCTGTGGGTCTGTGTGTGTGGTCCACCTGTAGGTCCTTGTGTGTGGTCCACCTGTAGGTCCTTGTGTGTGGTCCACCTGTGGGTCTGTGTGTGTGGTCCACCTGTAGGTCCTTGTGTGTGGTCCACCTGTGGGTCTGTGTGTGTGGTCCACCTGTAGGTCCTGTGTGGTCCACTTATAGCTCCATGTATCGTCCTTTAGATTCGTGTAGCCCACCTGTGGACCATTGTTTGGTTAGAATGTAGGCCCACTTGCTGTGAGTCATCGCCTGAGGGTTTAGCCTTAGAGCTTTAAACGATGAATCTGCTTCCTCTTAGTTTGTCGGTGTTTAAATTGACAATTTCCTGCAGTCGTTCCCTCTGTCTGTCTATGGTCCAGATGGCAGTTTCCTGTAGTCCATCTATTCATCATCTTGCCCGGCAACTGTTTCGTATTTCCACTCCTTAGTTGACTTGTGATGAGCACATTAGTCTAGGTGTGGACTACTTGTATACATATCAGCCATCTGTACACTCGGTCAGTTTTTTTTTTTTCATATGTGGACCATCTATGGATCTATATGAGCAAAATCTGTGGATCTACATGACAGCCGCCGATAGATCTAAATGAGAACTATCTATGGCTCTGCACAAGCGCCATCTGTGGAGCCACATGTGATTCAACTGTCTTCACTAGTTTTCTATATCTTCTGATGTACTATACTGACAATCTATATTCCTGCCGTAGTTGCCACAGTGATAGTTTTGTCTTTATTATATGAAAACATTGATTTACCCTTCAGCACAAAACTCTGAGGTTATACTTTTGAGTTATATGACGTATTACCAAAAATTTTTGATTTCTCGTATAATAATTACGGCTAGAAGACGTATTGATTATTTTTTGTTAATTTTGATTGTTTATTATGATTATTCTAGGTTCATGCTTGGCTATACGGAAAGTCTTCTGGATCATGTGGTGTCAATAACTGCTGAGGGTCGCCAGAGGAACCGCCTCATAAAGGAGATGGAGAAGCAGCTGAAAGAGCAGGCACCCCTTAAGGCCACCATCTGTGTCATGATCGCCTCAAAGATTGTCACACACAAGACGGTAATCCTTGGTATTTTCTCAAGAATTTTAAGAACAGTATTGTACAGTACATCTTTTTCCCAGAATCTTTTAAGGTCCTTGGATATCACAAAGTTTCCAAGATGTCTAGCACACATTGTTTACAAAGTTTGAATGAGAATCAATCAATCAATCACAGTACCGTTTTCATATCTGAGGGTTGGACACTACAGGTCACCACTCTAAATATTCTCGGGCTGTTTTTAACAATCCTCCAAGGTTTTGTATCTCTCTGGGGAACCAGTTTTTGCCTTCCCCTAACCCTCCTATACCGTCAACTTTGTCCATTAATAAATTTCTGTTATTATCCCCTCGTCCCTAATTATCTGACAAAAGTATCTAATTTTTCTTGTTCTTTCAATTTCAAGTATTTTTCATAAAGTTTTTGACAATCTTAGTATCTACTTCTTCATTTATTTTCCTGTCAGTGTAGCTTATTCTTAACATTCACCTATAACACCACATTTCAAAGGCTTCCAACCTCTTTCTGGTGTCTGCTGAAAGTGTCCACCCTTCTGACTCATACATCCGTCCTTGCCGTATAAAGCCTTTCAACAGCCTTTTTCTCAATTTGAAGTTAATGTCTTTTTTCATTGGGTCTTTTAGATCATTAAATGCTGTTTTTGCTTGCCCTTTTCTTGCTTTGATTTCTTCCATACATGTACCACCGCAGCTAATTTTACTTCCCAAGTATACAGAATTTTTACTTGTTTAAATTCCCTATTGCTTACCATAATTCTTATTTTAGGATTTATTTTCGTTACATTTGATTAGGAAATCGGTCTTTCACTTTTATCCTCTTCACCACTGATCGGCTCATTAGCTGCTTGAGCGATCGGTCACGTCTCTGTTAAAGTACTTTTCTTTTTTCTTTTGTCCTTTTCACCAAATGATCGGCTCGTTAGCTTCTTGGGCGATCGGTCACGTCTTTACTACTGGGCATGCACCGGCTCCTGAATGTACCTGATCCTGCTCCAGTGTTGGCTAAGTCTTGTCTTGAAAGAGCTCACACTCGGTGTCGTCACAACACTTTCTGGTAGATTGTTCCAAGAGTTCACACTCTCACTTCGAAAAAGTTTGTCCTCACAGTTTTCTGGACTTGCTGCTTCTTCAATCTTGGGCTGTGACCCCTTGTGGGGCGAGCGTCCTCCAGCTCCAGGTAAGAACACTCGACAGAGTAATGCCCCTTGAGATGCTTATACACCTCAATTAGGTCACCCCTTGCCCGTCTGTAGTATAAGCTAGGCAAGTTCAGGCGCACCAATCTCTCAGGGTAGCTGAAGTTCAGGCACCAGTCTGGTGGCCCTCCTTTGAACATTTTCATCCAACTGACAGTCCCTAGCATATCTCGGGGACCAGATGGGGAAGCACTTCACTCTTGAAGATCGTTACGAGGGACGGACCGTCTAGATATCCGAACGACCTTATAAGACCCAATAATTTATTTGTCTGATTTACCTTCTTCTCGCAATGGCCCGAGAACTTCAGCTCATTGTCAACATACACACCTAGGTCCTTCTCACATTCAGTCTCAAATAGTGCAGTTTCTTCATCCCGTTGGGACATGTGATACGCCTCCTTACGCCCCAGGTGCATCCTCTTACACTTCGTGACATTGAATCTCAGCAGCCATTTCTTCGACCATTCTTGGAGCCCACAGAGGTCCTTCTGCAGCTCTTCACAGTCCGCTTGGTTCTTGATTTCTCAAAATAACTTGGCGTCATCGCAAACATTTGTACAGAGGAGTGTACAACGTCAGGCATGTCATTTATGAAACAAACAAACAACAGTGTGCTGTAACCACACTGTCCCTATTGGGTAGTCAATTCCTATATGGGACTCACGCTTTTCACTCATGTTTGTTGATAATTTTATTCCACTTTCAATTTATTCTAGATATGATACCGTATGTTAATGCAATTGTAACGTAGCTTTTATCTTTTTTCTCAGAGTTTGAGTACCCTCATGGCACAACGATGTCTCAAGCATTTGAAAATGAGTGCCCACATCAACGACATCAAACGCTCAGAGATAAGCATATTGAAGCAGCTGGACTGGCGGGTATGTTGGCAGTAGGTCCCTGTATTTCTTACTGTTATGCTGCTAAACTAAACGTGATTGATTAGCCATATTTTTTTTCGTGTATTTTTCGTTCTGAGGGAGCCAAGCTTTCTCGCGACTTGGCGCTATCCATTTTCTTCACCATTTTACTGACTTCAAGGGATGTGGCAGCGAAGTGAATACGGCAGTCCTATTGTCTACTCGTAAGTTGTTGGTTCGATTCCGGGGCACTCTCAGTCCGCCCAGCTGTAAATGGGTACCTGATATTATGCGGTCCAGTTCTGGTGCCCCTATTATAGAATGGATATAAATTCACTAGAGTCGGTGCAGCGAAGAATGACAAAAATGATTCCGGGACTTAGAAACCTTCCATATCAAGATAGGTTAAAGAAACTTACTTGCATTCCCTAGAAAGACGAAGAGTGTGGGGAGATATGATAGAAGTATTTGAGTGGGTGAAAGGAATCAATAAAGGGGATATAGATAAAGTTTTTATAATATCCGAGCAGGATAGGACTCGGAGCAACGGATTCAAGTTGGATAAGTTTAGGTTTAGGAGGGAGATAGGAAGAAACTGGTTCACAAATAGGGTGGTGGACGAGTGGAACAAGCTTAGCAACTTTGTAGTAAGTGCGGGAACTCTGGAAAGTTTCAAAAGGAGACTGGATAGATTCATGGATGATAGAGAGTGGTAGTAACTCTCGACAGGAGCTGCCATGCACAGGCCAACTGGCCTATTGCAGACTCCTTATTTTCTTATGTTCTTATGTTCCATCAGAGTAGAACGTTCTAGAATCTCCCAGTAATTTCTGGGTGATTCTAGGATGTTCAAGAAGCATCTGACTAGGCGTATAATTATAAACAGCAGCGAGCAGATAGCAGGCTAGGAGTCAATCGATCGCTTCTGTTAAGAGTGTAAAGAAAAACCAAGCAAAACTGAAAACAATTGTTCTGCAGGTATTGTGGAATTGGTGTGATTAATAAAAAGTGAAAAGACAAAAGAATTGTGCACTGGTAGTGTGCCGACTACAGTCTATATTCGAAGTGAGAAGTCCAGCTGTGCAGTCATTACCGGGTCCGACTAATTACCCAAATGTAGCCAAATATAGTCGCAATGAAGTCAAATAATGGTCCTAGATGAATAAATCGGACTGCTAATCACTTCTCGACTAGTAATTGGTGTCAGAAAGTCACAAAAAAATTGGAAAACTTACTTTTATCTGAGTTAATAAATCGCGTGCATGTACCGAGGGAGCGAGTAATTACCCAAATGTAGCCGCAATGAAGTCAAATGATGATCGTACAAGCGTAATTCGGGCTGTGAATCGAGAAGTGATTAGCAGTCCGATTTATTCATCTAGGACCATTATTTGACTTCATTCCGGCTATATTTGGCTACATTTGGGTAATTAGTCGGACCGGTCATATTACCGTTAACAGTGTTGTGAAGAATCAGTGCTTATTAAAGAAGATTCTAGTGCACAAGTGTGTTTCTGCGACCTGGTGGAAATCTACCTGCCTGTTGTTTGTCTGTACACTGATACCGATCGTCGGAAAATTACCGGAGACTGGCGGGCCAGCCACTGGTAATTCGACAACTCTTGTGAGATATCTACTGCCTCTGTACACTCGCAACAAAAAGTATCGGTGCATACTGTAGTGTGAACAATTTGAGGCCAGTGACGATAGGTATTGGGAAAGGCGAGTTGTTCCAGCCGTTGTTGGCAGCCCTGTAATCCAGCTGAGCAGCTACTATGGCCTGGTCAAGTGAAACAAACCGTTATAAATAAGGTCGGGAAGTGATAAATAGACAGTATGACATATGAGGAGCTCCCTGTTAACAAAATTATTTGTGATACTTGTGAATATTGCCACATTAATTTATGCTACCGAATAAACCACTCAACCTGGTCGTCCTGAGGGGTGGTGAAGCGTGGACGGCCGCTCCGAGACCTGTCGTCTGTAGCACCAGTTTCGAGGTATCGCCGAATCCATCGTGCAGAGGTGTTCCTGTGGGCACCAACCTGCCGGCTAATATCTGTGACGCTGAACCCTTCGTCATGACGGGCAATAATAGCTCCTCGTGTTCCCTCTGAGGTTTCCATGTCGTCTGGCATGTGTAGACCTCTACTGGTTCATATTGCCTCTGTTTTATACCCACGTTCACCGAGACCGAACCCTATCTCATCATTCAGTCGACACAATGCAACAATCCGAAAAGAGGAAACAAACACGCTGATTGTCAGCCATATGGCAACACCTAGTGGAGGGGGGGGGGGGTTATGAGGTTACACCCTTTAGGGACACTGTCTCCTGTACACAAGGAGACATCATGACCGGTATTGCACTTCACTGCATTCACTTCCCAAGTTGTAAACTTAGGTACAAATGAGTGAACTGGGAGTGCTCGGGAATCGAATCACCGCCCCATGGGGGAGCGTTGTTTCCAGTCGACTGCGCACTTAAAATAAATGTAATATTCGGTCGATAAAGACGAACCCACCATATGCGGACCTGATTTGTGATACAGCGTAAACGACTTTTGTGTATCATAAAAAACGAATTTTGGGGAATGGTGGATTCGTTAACAGTACGGAATGCCACTTTTATGTTCTACTGAATAAAATAATTTCTAAATCACAATGAATCTGAAATTTACTTCTCTTTGGTGATTAATGTTCTTCTTGTCCTCAGTGTCATAGGACTAGCTCCTTGTTGGAATACATTGGGCTGTTGATCTCAGTGGCTGGACTATGGGAAGGTGATGGTGCCTACCTTGCTGAGATGAAGAGGATCACCATTAGGCCAGTGCCTCTAGAAGAACTGTATGAAATGTCGACTAAACTACTGGATATGGTGCACCTCAACCATGAGAGAGTGTACCAAGATCTGTATACGTCCCTAACTGGATTAGCATTCATACCAAATAAACACAAGTAAGTTACAATGGAAGGTTGTGGGGAAAAGGTATGATTAAAAATATGGCCACTTACTAATATGGATTGCCGATTTAACTTCATTGGTATTGCATACTAGATGGAACCAGTTCACATCCGCTTGCCAGATGAAGATAAAGGCAAAGAAGTAAATGCAGTCACAATACTTAAATTGAATTAAAACATGGAGCCTGATAGAAGAGGGGATTAAATGTGGATTGTACAGCATTTGATGGCATTCATATCATTTTCTTGTCTTTCAGCTTAACTTTTAAGTCTACAGTATTTAAAAAATTTTTGGCTTAAGTATATATGCCGAGTTGACACAGGTAAGTGATGGCTTCTGCAAATATCAGTTCCAGTCAGTACATGTTCTTGTATACATACCAAACTAAAACTTCCCACATCTACTGTACGTGCCCATTACCCAGTACTACTTCTCTTTTTCCATTTTACTTTGCTTAATTCTCTTTGACCTGTTAGCCTCTTGGGTGTTGGCTACATCTGTTACACACTGTCGGTCTGTACTGGCTCCAGAAGAATGTATCTGCGCCTGTGTTGATCAAGTCTGGTCTTGAATGAGCTCACACATGGTGCCGTCACAACGCTCTCTGTCGGGTTGTCCCAAGAGTTCACTACTTCCACTACAAAAAAGTTTGCCCCGACAGCTTTCTGAACTTGTGGCTTCTTCAACCTTAAACTGTGATCCCTAGTGGAGCGGACATTCGCCAGCTCCAGGTATGAATATTTGACTGAATAGTGCCCTCTTAGAATTGTATAGATTTAAGTCACCCCTTGCCCACCTGTAGTATTAACTAGGCAACTGCAGGTGTTCTAATCTCTCTGGGTACCTGAGGTGTCTGGTGCAGGCATCAGATCGGTGGCACATATTTGGACATTTCCAATCAACTGACGGTCTCTAGCCTATCTCAGGTGCAAAAAGGGATGACAGTACTCCACTCGGGGGAGCACCTCACTCTTGAAGAGTGCTACAGTAGTTGCATGCTTACAAAGTCTCAGTTGCTTGACTAAACCTATATTTGTCTCGTCTGACTGCTTCTTGATTCTTTTTGTGCTTACATTTACCTGTGATGAGACAGCCTTTTACAGTTGTCACAGGCAGCTCCAGTGGCAAGTTCAAGCTCGAGGCAGGGTGGGGAGGCCGACAGTGTAAGAGAAGTCAATTTATATTTCTATGTACCTTTAATTTCTTTCTCTGAGTGAAGGCTCTTCCATCTATAGACGTTGCGAGCAAATGGCTGTTAAGATTCAATGTCACAAAATTTAAGATGCACCTAGGTTATACCAACAGTAATGAGCCGTATCACAAGCCCAATGGGACGAAGAAACAGAATTAATGGAGACCGATTATGAAAAGTACCTTTGTGTGTGTGTGTGTTGACAATGAACTGAAGTTCTCAGACCATTGTCAGAGAAACTCAGGAAGGTGAATCAAGCATCTAAGCTAACAGGTCTTAAAACAAAGTCGTCCAGATATCTAAATGGGCCATCCCTTGTAAAGCTCTTCAGGATATTGTAGATATTGCCACCTTCTTCCAAAATTTGGGTCCAAACATCCAGTACCTTGAGTACTTGTGTTAAGCAGGAGCGTCCTGGCATAAAACCGTGTTGGCAGTCCTTACAAGGTTTTTTCGTAGTAGATGTTCCATCATTGCATCTTATAATGCTCTCGGTACTTTACACACAATGCTGGTCAGGCCCACTGGTCAATAATTATTCGTGGTGACAATCGCCCTTTTTTTAATAATGAACTCACATAAGCCATTTTCCAATCACGGGGAACCTTGTGCTCATCCAGGCATTTGCAGAACAGGATCTTCAGGGGCTCAACAAGCCCGTTGCACAACTCTCTTAGCACTCTGAGATGTACCATGTCAGGGCCGGGACTCTTACGAACCTTTAGCTTTGACAATTAATTTCTTATACCCTCTTATACCCTCTTCTGAGAACACATTATGGATCAGCACTATCAAACTGTCTGTCCTCAAATGCAGGAAGATTGTTTGCATCCTTTCTTGTGAACACTGACAAAAAGAATCTCTTCAACTCCTCCTCTTTGTCCTGGTCAGAATCTGCGTAACTACCACATCTTCAAGCTTCAGGTCCAATATGCCTACTCACGTTTTTAATTTTGATTTTGTGTCGCGAAAAAAGCTTTTTGGTTTGACTTCATCTCACTCGCAATCTGCCTCTGGCACTCTTTCAGCTCTTCTACATTCTGACTTTCTGGCTTTGCCTGGTTCCTGGATCTGGTGTTGATCAGAACAGTACAGGGAAAAATTAAGAAAGAAATAATATTGATAATAATAAATCACCGTGGGAAGTGGTCATTTTAGGATAGGTTAGGTCATTTTTACCTAATTTGACAATTCTGCCAGAAACAAAATTAAAGTATTAGAATCCCAAATTTGCCATTCTTTCCTACATTTGATAAGAACACAATACCTGTACTCTTTCCAGAAAATTATTCCCTCTACAAAACAATTTTTCTTCCGAACATTATCTTCTCCGTTTCCAGTACATACTGTACTTTTTATTAGTCAACAAGAGAGCAATATCAGATTTATATGATAAGTGTCTGGAATTTTTTTTTTATTCATGTTAATATTGAAATCTGCTGATTTTTTTGTTAATTTTTTGAGAAGATACTGACACGCTGCCTGTTTAACAATACAGCTCCTCCCCGACTTACGACCTACTCGACTTACGACCACCAGGACATACGACCGCCTCAGTCGTACCAAAATTTTGTCAAATTATGTATTTTCGAGTCCCAACGTCAGTGATTGCACTGTGTACTGACAAAATTTTCGTTTGTAATTCACTTTAAAATGGCTGGCAAGCTTAAAGGTGAGAGTTTTGTGGTGCTGAGAAGAAAAAGAGACACCCATTTCAGATTTTCTATGTATTATTTAAGCATTTTCGACTTACGACCTGGATTTGGGTCCCTTACCCTGTTGTAAGTCAGGGAGGAGCTGTAAGCTCTTTCAGTTTTGTTTTCCTATTCCAAACTTTCTTGTTTCAGTTTCACAGGTTTTTCCATTATGTGATTTGGTAACATTATTTGTAATATTATAATGTTTCAGGACAGCATTTGGTAAAGTAGTAGCAGACCGTCTGCTATTGGCCGGATCAGTGGTAGCATCGGCAGCTTTTGTGCTTCGAGGGCTAGAGAAGTGTTCTACAGTTATTTTGTCAATTACCACATACACCCACACACCTTGCAAAGACTTAATAATTTTGGCATCATGCATAATGAATTGTGCAGGTTTGCCATGCAATATCAAGTCACTCCTAGATAATATTTAAATTCTTTATTATAAAAATAGATACCATACCCTTATGGCCTAAGCCTGTCTAGAAATTCGCGAGTAAACCCGCTGAATTCTTCGGGTTCATGGCACCCAGAAAAACCCTGATCTACTCTGGCGAGGACAATGGTCAGAAGAATAGCTTTCTCCCCCATAAGCAATTCTAGCCTTAAATAGGGGAAAGAAAGAAACTGTAGTGAGAACTAACAAGTGAACTGTCGCATACCATATTTGCAACCAGTTCAACTCCGGTTCAGTCTGTTAGGTGGGAATACACAATTCTAGATGCTAATTTAAAAGGAGTGAGTATTCACCTTCCATATCGTGTTTACATATACTCTGTATTTACAACCTAATCCAGATGAGTAGGCAACATCGAGGAACCTGGTATGCTAGAAGACCTTGTGTTCCTCCACACTAGGTAAGAGTGGTGTGTTCTCCCCTAGGAAATGCATAATTATACAACCTTTGGAGCAGTTTGTATCACTTACTCCTGAAATCCTGGTTTATAACAGAGCTTGGATAGGGTGACTTGGTTCCCACCTTCCTCTATTGGTTGTTTTGCTGGGGTCAGTGGGGTGTGAGAATTGGTTATGCAACTCGGTTGCAATTGAGCCTCACTTAACGGGTTGTGCATGCACTGTGTGACGTCTCACATGTTAGCTTTCAGAACTGCAGCATCTTTTTAATCCTATTTAAGGTCAAAAGTGGGGAAAAATTAAGTTTCAGATTACTGTATTCCTCCAGCTTCTGGTGGGCTTAATTACACTTATTTCTTTATAATTTGAGATATTTATTTGCAGTACCATTAGTTTTGTTGTAAATTTAGTTATTACCATCAATTACAAAATTATTTATTTTATACTGTAGTTCATACATTGTTAAAGGTATTTTAAGTTACTGTATCACCATGCCAAAAATATGATAGTACCTTGTATATACACTATTACAGGTTTCCTATTATATGTTAAAGGTTTTCAGTTGTATCTCCATGAGAACTATTTTTGCAATCACCAGTAGAGATTAAGTTTATATTCATATCTCGTATGAACTCTGGATAGAGGATTTTTATGTCTGTACTGTACAAATTATATTAAGGATTTTAATTTTCTTGCAAACCAGTATCAAAATATTTTTGACATGGTACATCTGATTTCAACACCCCTATTTTTATCAAGTTTGAGGAACACTTCTGTTCCTATGTTGCAAGGTATATTTTCGTACTTTTATTGGCTAGCTTAATTATAATTTATACAACTCAATATCTTTCTGAAACTCCAAAGGCTAGTTCATACAGTATGTAAGGTAAATCTCTATTTGCGATGGGGTTATGTTCCTGAAAATCCAATCACAGGTTGAAATATTGGAAATCAGGTTCATTATAATATGGGTTCAATGGGGTAGGTTCCTGACCAGTTGGACACCCATATGTATAAAAATAAATAAAAATAGAATACTACTAGCACTACAACACAATTAAACAACACTCACCACATCATAATAATCAAGTCTGATCATCATCACATGTCCTCCTTGAGGCTAAGGGGACTCTTGAAGGTGAAGTGAAGGTGTAGAGACACAGCGGGAACTGGAGGTGTAGCCTTTGTCCTGGCCTTGAAGATGGTGTACCACATGGGTAAGAATGGAGAAGGGTTTTGCATGGCTGTGGCCTTTGACATCCAGTAGACACGGTGCATTGGACCAGGAGGTGGGGGTGTCCCTCCAAATAAGATGATTGACAGTTCGATTTCCGGTAATCATCTGGTTGCATTAACCCGAGATGAGACTTTGCAAATGCAAGATGGCCGTCTTAGACCTGGTTGAGGTACACTTGGAGGAACTTATCACTGAAGCCTGCTTGGTCGATATTTTCCCACTGGACTTAAAAGCATTTGTAGAGGATACCCAAACACTGCATTAAAAGCACTTTTCAAGACCAGCTCCGTGATGTCACTCACTCCCCACTCTTCTAGATTTGTTGCTGTTGATGTGGTTTGATTCTCTCTTATTCCTGAGGCTAACTTGGGAACTCCTAGGAGCTTGACAATCTGATGACCTGAAACCAGAGTTGACAGTCTCTTCACAACCTTTTGCTTGTCAGATCTTGCAGGAGCTTTCCATCCCAGTGGACAACCAGGGACACATCAGCATGAAACTTAACCTTTAAATCTGCTACTAAACTGGCATGCCACTTCTTCCTTTGCCATCGAATAGAGATGTGGTTGATATCCATATCAGTAACATGATGACCCAGGCTGACAAGTACTGCTAAGACTGTTGCATTGCCGTCTAGCATCCTGGTCCTATTGAGATCTACTGCAAATGCAGGAGTCACAATGGTCCTACAAACACGTTTGGGAAGTGAACCACAAACTGCTCCTAGCAGGGCCAGATGAGAGGGAGGAACCTCTTGACAAAATCCATTCTGAGTCTTGTGGGGGCTATCCCTTCCAGCCCCTTATCCAGTTATACCACTGCACAGAGCAATGAACACTGCAATATTGAGTAATAGAGTGTATGGACTGCTTTGCATGACTACTCTCACTTATTGCTCTAGCCATGTCCTACAACTGCATAGTGAAGACCATGTATGCCTCGACTGATAGCAAGTACTTTGCACATCCAATCCAGTCAGTTGCATCCAGCAATTGCAAATAGTGTTCCATGCATAGGGTGCCTTTCTCACCGATTCATAAATTTGTAAATACAATATCTGATATGTCAACAGGAAGTGAAAAATAAAAAGGGAATAAAATTTGGTCCATTTTATTCTCAAATGGCACTTGTATATCACAAAAGGGAGTACAATAAAAATACTTGAGCTATGCAACCTCCTTCTGCATTTAGTAATTTTTTTGTTTTGAAGAATAAAAATATGACCCTATTACAAATTTCTAGATAAATCACACAATGAAGGTATCCAACTCATGAAGACTTCATGACAAACTTATTTGGCATAACTACTCTTCTTCTACCTGAAACATTAAACAGGCTGCTATACCATCACTATTGGGCTGAACTTATAACAAGATTAACTTTATTTGGCACTTCAATTTGTAAATTTAATACAGGTAGCTATATTTTGAAATATCATATTGTAGTTACGATTTATTTTTCAAGGTTAGGTAAATACCCATGAAAGTTCTTATGTAACTTGGTCATTACATTAACTACCGGTATCACATTTATAACCAAGGATTATATGGTTTCATTTATGGTTTGTCTTTCCTTATTGTCTGTGATGGTTACCTAACTTAGCCTCAATAATAAGTGGATAACAGTCTGAATTGTACATCTCCTGAGGTGTTTGGTGCATTTATGGCACGGGGTACATTATGCAGTTGGCTAAAAAGTTGCCTCTTGCAACACAAAGTACATCAGTTCCGGATATAAGTTACAATGCAAGATCCAGGGTCCAACTTGCTTATCACATTTCTGTACAATAAACAAATGGTGCAGATACAGCATAAAAAGTTAAAATATTTTTTAGAGGAACTTTCCTTTTAACATTAACTGTACATAAGACCACTGGATCAGTCCCGAGGTAATCTTGTGGAATATTTGTGGAGGGCCCACAGTTCAAGGTCCCAACCTATTTTACATTTACATATGGGAGTATTGGGGTGAGTAAATGCTGACCTGTTAATTAACTTGAGTTCATAAATCAACAAATGCCTTATTGGGTCCCATAAACATGTGAACTCACCCCAAGGAGGTTCTGTCAGGACAACACAATACAGGCACTAACTTAACAGCTCTTAAGTCATGTACAACTATTTACATAAGGCATTCATATCTTTTAACAACTTACATTGGTTTCCATTAAGCATACAAAATTGAACACAATATTCTCATTCCGTACAACAAGACAATATAAAAACACACCAATGGGCAAATCCTATTGGTCAATGGAATGGCCGCGTCATTAACATGTAACAAAATACTTGGCTTCTTCACGTCACTCCAACACTGGCCAACAATAAACTGGTCTCACTTTAGGAATGTTGAATGAATGACGTCATTATTCTGCATATCACAGTTCAAAATCCAACAAATAACTGCAAAATAACACTGTAATATTACTAATTGCTAAGATTCTTTACATAATTAATTAGGTGAACGAGTATAAAGAATTTTACCAAAATAATCAACAAAAAAATGAAACTGACTTTGTGTAACAACTCAATTCAAACTCAGGGCATCATGACAATGAGACAATGAAGATGAAAATGGTGAATAGTTAAACTAATGATTATTACACTACATGATGACAATGAAAGAATGTGTATGATCTTGCTAGCTGAAGGTTGATTGTCATGTTATGCAAGAGGCACTTGGGGAAGTCTCAGTCAAATCATATGAATCTATTTTGGGCAGACCAAATCATTTATACGGTACAGTACTGTATTTATGATCTGCAACAAAGTATTGAAATTTTTGGGGTATACAATAATGGTTAACAGGTGGCAGGAGGGTAACTGACTGAAGCAAAGTAACTCAATATGTTTCAATAATCATTCAGAAAATACCTAGTTAGATTTTTGTACATATTAACATACAAATTAAATTTTAAAAATGGAAATATTGATATGAGAAAAGGAAAAAATTGGAGCATATTTTTGACAAAGAAGAAAATTTTAATAATACTAGTCAAGAAACTTCAAGATACCCTGTACTGGTATAAGAGTAAAAGATACTGTAGTGATATGAGGTAATATTTCAAATCAGAAGTTGCAGGCAATCAATATACATAAAGTAAATTGAATTTGCAATTTAAACAAGGATGAGATATTGATAAGAAAAAAAAAATGTCAAAATAATGCATGAACTACTATGATTACAGTAATTGAGAGAAAGATGACAAGAGACCTTGAGAGAAGACCAGCATGGAGAGGGTAATGCCCTAACTAGCACCCAATTATTAAAAGTCACACATGTACTTTAATTTTTTATAAGGAAAATGTTGAGATGAGATGTATACTGTACTGTTAAAGGAAGCTTCAACAAATATGACTAAAAATGGCAAACTTTCGAATATTTTCAAACAGGTTACTTGAAGTCTGCCATACATAGGGAGAGGGGGAGAAGAATTAACATTTTGAGTGACCAGCTCAGGGTATCCCATACTGCAAAATCCAAGATTACTGCCCGGTGATAAGACTGAAAGGAGATATGTAGATTGCGAGTCAATTGCTTGAAATCTGTTTAAAGGAACTAACTGAAAATATGTGATAAGAATTATAATGCCTCTTTGAATTATCCACTATTAAAATATGAGAGCACTGGTCATCTCAAACCTATTAAGGAAAGCCTACAATGAAAGCACTGTAGGAAAATGAAAACCAATAATAAAAACTGTACAATGTCTATAAGACAAAGAAGCAGAGAATAAGGTCCTGTATGAGGGTAAGATTATCCCACAGCAGGATGAGTTCCAAATAGTTAATCATGCCCATATCAGGGATGATTTTTCAACTGAATCCTACAGTATACTGCTTATCAAACCTTCAAAAAGATTTTCAAGCCCAACAAATTTTCAAATTAAAGGCCAAAGTCCTTGGTTTTTTGTGACCCTGTCAGCAGTGTTTGCAGAAATGCCCAATAAGATGGACTTTACGGAGTTTTTTTTATATATTTAGATTTAATTATATAACTTAACTATCATTACAGTAAAGTCCATCATTTAAAATTTATTAAAATCTGAAACAAATGTCCATTTTGGGCATAATGAAAAATGTTGATGGGCAGAAGTGAGACTAACAAGAGCTTTCCCAGCACCATGTGTCCATGCCACCGCCGTTTGTAACCTGACCACAGAAAAAGTTGCACTCCATACTCATGTCTTATTTTGTACTGAGACCACAGGATCCACATCCTGAAGGCACAAAGCATCTCATCCACAGTAACCTACAATGTCCCTAAACTCCAACAGGGCTACCTAGGTGGTAGGCTGCTGGCACTGGATGTGGTTGTGGGGGGTGTAGAGCATGGGGAGTGGGTGGGGCGAGCAGCATGGACAGCCTCAGGTCATTGGAGAACTGGGACTGTGGCTGTTTTCTCTGTAGGTGAAGTGAGTGCAGAGAAATCAAAAGTTGTGGTAGGCAGAAGTGGAGAAACCACTGGTGGTGGAAGATGGGAGTATTGTGGTAGTGCTGGGAAAGTAAAATGATGATGATTGCGTGGTGATCCATAGTGTGGGCTCAGGCTAGCTAGGGGACTCAAGTTAGACCACAAATGAAGTGGTAGGTATGGAGATTTTGTGCCTACGCCACTGTATGGGGGTGATGGTAGATTTACTAATGGAGTATTTAGGCTCGATGCTGAAAATTGGCGTGGTGACAAGACTGGAGGAGATGCAGTAATAGACTCAATAGAAAGGGGTGATGGCTTGGGTTTTGGTCCTGAGCGTGCTTTTCCTTGCCCAGGACTGGTTCCAGTAATAGAAGTGGCTGCTAATGAAGATGCAGCTGTAGAAGCAATGCTAAGGGATGGTTTATGTTCCCGGACTGGAGGTGGTGTAAGGGGTGACAGAGGAGGTGGAGAAGGCAATGGTGACCTCTGACGAAACGGTGAACGCACGCGTGGCACGGGTGATTGCTGGTATGGTGGCACAGGTGAATGCTGGTATGGAGATCGTGAGCGTGGCGAACGTGAACGAGGACGTCTCTGTTCCTCTTCTCTCCTGCGTTCCTCGGCCTCCTCTTCTCGACGACGGCGACTAGCTTCTTCTGTCACTAGGTGTAATGGTGCTGAAGGTATACCATCCGTAGAGTCCTCTGAGGGTGGAGAGGGTGACCGCTGACCAAGGTCTGGTGGCCATAATGTAGGTGGTGGCTGTGATGGGGCAGGGGCTTCAGGCTCTGGCCTTCGAGCTAAGGCTGATAGGTACCCACCTAAACTTGCTGCAGCCATGTGTGAAAATGCTGCAGAATACATATGTGCCAAAGGACCTGTAAATTGGAAGAAAACTTCGTTTTAGTAAACTGTAAACAGTTTTTGAGACAATATAAAAAGTAAAATTAACATAAATGTACTTACAATTACGGTAACCCCCAAATATGTATTCTGTGCACCTTTGTCACATTCAGAAAAGAACATTTACACCCTTCTCCTGTAAAAATTTTCTACTGCTGAAAAGCTATCTAAGTAATGCTTGTAACATTTGCAGGATACAAACTTGGGAATATGCATTGGCCACTGCATAAGCAGTTATTATAAACTTAAAAATAATAATAAAATAGTTATATAAATATAAGGATACAATAAAAGTATATATATATATATATATATATATATATATATATATATATATATATATATATATATATATATATATATATATATATATATATATATATATATATATATATATATATATTATATATATATACATACAGTGAAATGGGAGATTTTAATCTTAAAAGGATACTGAAAATATGAAACAAACTTTTCCTAGCTATTTATATTTTATCCCTATTTTTTCTCACAAACAAACTTTTACATTAGAGTATTTGTATTATTCATATTCAGTTTCCATAGTTCAAATTTTAACTTTTGTATTACCTGTATTGACTGAGCTCAGAATACTGTACCTGAGAGTTGTATCAAAAAAGCATTTTTGCAGCTCTTCAATTCAATGATTAAAATCACATAATTATCAACATGCCTCAGAGAGGCTCATATTTAGATCAATTGGACCCAACACATCTGGAAGGGCAAAAAAATTACTTCACCCACTCACACAGCAGCTGTTCACATAATCATTCAACATTCTTCCATCAAAACATCGCATCAGAACCTTTATACCTGTAGTAAGCTGACAGCTTTACATGAGTTAAGTCTGCTATTCAATTCATGGACTAAAATTGTTGAAGATTTACAGTACGTAGTCAAAATATTGAATAGAAGTCAGCACACATCATCTTGCTTTAATTGCTGAGGTGGTTTGTGTAACGATAACAGTTATACTGTACTGAAGTTTCAGTAATTAAATTTATCTCATAAAAAATGAGATTCATCTAACATGCTGTCTGTATAAGGGGATATAAAGCAAAAGGGCACATTGAAGTACTTTGTGTTAAAATGGGACACTGTAAAGTAAGTACAGTACTACAGGTATGTGTTAAACTTTAAAGCCATACCATGGTCACTAACTACCATTATCACCATTTTACAGCCAATTTCCACATTTGCATGGGTTAGCCATTAAATAAACATCGAAAAACTGTATTACAGTGAAATCCCCATTAGCCGGAACAATTGGTACAGAGCACTTCCGGGAATGAGAAATTTACCGGTAACGAGACGTCTCTCTCAAAGCCAGAAAAAATCCCGTCCCCGGAATTTTCCGGGTAAAGGAAATATTGTTCCAGAAATTGCCCATTACATCATCATTCAAACCCGGAAAAACATCCCTCATCCCCAGAATTTTCCGGGTAACGGAAAAATTATCTCGGAATTTCCAGAAAATGCGCCTGATTTTCATCTCTCAAACCCGGAAAAAACTCCCCCATCCCTGGAATTTTCCAGGCATCGGGAAAAATTTCTCAGGATTTTCCGGAAAATGTGCCCCTCGGAAAATCGTTACAAAAGCCATAATTTTCCGCAAAATTCCGGCGAAGAGAACGATTTTCCGAGAAAATTTCAATTACTGTATACTGTCAAGAGATACACAACAATTCCAAAGCCATTTGCCATATTAATTTACATATGAACCTAACATTGTACACAAAGCTTTCGGATAAAGATAAATAAAACAAGAAAAACATAAAGCTATCCCTTCCTATTAATTCGATTAGTAAAGTGAATCGTGTAACCCAAAAAAAGATAAAATCATTCTGGCTTATTACACAAGTGAGCAAAATATATAATTTATGTGGAACAATCTTCACATATACATGACCATATTCCTTGTGCACCACTAAAACAAAGTTCCATGGAATTTCACAAAATTTTTAGGAAAATTTGATTTAATTTTTTTGTTATTATAAACTCACACAAACATACAGTACGGATGGCTAAAAACTACAACATATAATAGATCTGGTACAATATTTAGTTTGTCAGTACAGTACAGTATTTGTTTGATAAGGTCAAAGCAGATGTAAAAACGTGACCCATTATTGGAGTAAAGAAGGCTGACCCACTGATAGAAACTCATGACAATGACATTATTCCCATGATTAAGTGAACAATATGAACTAGTATATTTATTAATTGAATCTGCCATCAAAAAAACTAACCAAAAACTTACTAAGGGAGGAGTAGGAGCCAATGTGAGCTGGAGGAGGTGTAGCCAAATGGTGTGTTGAAGCTTGTGCAGGTGAGGGTAATCTGGACCCACCAGGATGACTACCAGATGGGGAAGGGGCACCTGGCTGTAGTCCTGATGCACTTGGTGAGTATGGTGACATACCTCCACTAGCAACTTTTGTGTTACTATTACTTCCTAGACTTTCCATCTTCACGTGGAAGGGAATCTTGTTCTCCATCTTAACTATTTCCGGAAAAGAAACAAATCTGGAAAAAAAAATCATACTGTACTTGTAAATAATGTATACCATCAAAAAAAAGTACAGGTACCAGTTAGTTTACTCATTTACTGTACAGTCGAGGAAACTCTAATCCTTCACTGTAGGTTGAGAATGAAACCTGTAAATATTCCCTTTACCAATAAGTTACCCAAGTTTCTAGTGCACACTGGGATTAAAAAATAAATAAAAAATATTGTTGCTGAGTTCATGTCTCAAGACAGTACAAAGAATGTTGACAGAAATGACCAAATAATTTTTTGATTTGCTCCCAAAGGATAGTTCCTTAATATCAAGCATCTGACAGATCAAGAAGTCTCAAGGCTGTTGAAGAGAATTCTCAAGAGGAATAGGAATATGCAGAGAATGTAACCATTCTAATATGGGATTCTTGGTGAACTAGGAAAAGTCCAGACAGACTCGTCTTGATAGTGTAACTGGTTAGGATAAAAATGTTAGGTCCGTTCAACTTACGGTACTCCAGAAAAAGTAGTCTTTTCGTCTCTTGACAAGAGGCTGCTTGTGAAATCTCAAATGCCTTGGAGACAATGCTAGATGATGGGCAAGCACTGACCTTTGCCTCATCTGCAGTCCTTTTTTCATCTCACGGTTAAGTGGTTAAATCAGACATTCAAATCAAGATACAGAGATAATTTAAATCCCCCCTTTTATGGCTTATGGATAGAACTTTTGTGGTGTACTCGAGTGAAGAGTATGGAATACCATCTTCTGATTTTTCAGTTTGGATATACAGGCATTGTATGTTGTCAAGGAGGTAGCTACCTGGTAAAGATTCCATGGCAGTTATTAACATTAACCAGAACTTACGGCTCCCCTCATTTTTCTCAATTCACTTAAATAGATTTTGAGGAGACACACGGCCTCCCATATGGACAACATGCCGGTATCTGCTGTGGCATGTATCAACAAAGATGGATCATTCTGTTCTTATCCTCTCTCGTTATATCCCAAGAGAATTTTCTGTCTGCTATACAGCATTCTTCATTCATCTGATACTCTTATATATTTTGGGAATATGGAATGTACAGCCAAGTGCTAGGCACCCCAGATAGCATTAGGTTACTGTACTTAAACTTTATGTAGGTTAAACAGGGGTGCCAAATCTTTAGGTGAGTACTTTGGGTGTCAAATATCTTATAACTGATATGTATAGTACAGTTATTTCAATGTAATGGACTAAGTTGTACTTACAAGTCAGATAAAGTCAAGGACAAAAATAAAGAAGGAGATTTGTATCTTATCCTTCATTTCATTTAATTTGGCTTGACAGACCCTGAGGAGGCAGAGATAAATTTCCTGTATTGAGTGCTCCTGACCATCAGTTATCTCTTATCACTATCGCCTTGACTATCAGAATACTTATCATAATCACATCCGCTGCCAACAACAAAACACTCCATAACATTACTGCCACTTGAACAACTTTAATTTTTGTGAGTACAGTACTGTAGGTGCACGTTAGCGAGTTTTCAAGTATTCTAAGGATGATAACTACAAATTTGTTTACTAGCATACTATGCTATATGTAATGTAATTTATGCTTTTCATGTTTACTACTGCCAGCACCCAGTTATATCTTCACCCCCAATATTGAAGATTGAGTTTTCAATACTGTGCCAGTATAGTTTAAATGTTGCAGAAGAAAAAATAAAATGGTACAGTATAGTATAAGTATAAAAGAGTCAACTAACTTTGAGAACACTCATTTCTATAGTATGGGTTCCATGACATTTGCTCATATGACATAGGCTCACGACATTAATGGAAAGGAAGACAAATGCTCATTTTTTTAAAATCACTACAGGTATTTATAAAAACCAATATACAGTACAAAACTGACCTAGCAGCAATGTGCCACTGCATCCAATTGGAGTACAGTAGTTATAATTTTAATATATTGTGGCATTTTTATACATTATGATTTGCCAATAAAGATTATAAAACATATACTGTACTGTGGTAACAATTTTACCACATAATTTGTATATTGGTTAAGCTTGTATACTGCTTATTATAAATTGGGATTTGCAAATAAATTATAAAAAAAAAGTTGTGAGCATTTGTTTTGTGAGTGTATTCCTTGTGAACAAATATCAGCACACCCCTTAGTATGTAATTGATGTTCTTAAATTTGTATCAAAAGTAAATTCTAATACAGTACAATACAGTAATTGTAGTATGTGTGTAAATACAGTAGAAATCTTATGAAACATTCACACAATGCATATTAACTTCCTTTTCAGTTAATTAACCAACTTCATTCATCATTTTCATAAATTGTATACAGGTATTGGTATTAATTTAAACAGCTTTATCTACTGATCAAGAGAAGCAGACCTGCTTTAATCCATGATACTGTATGTTTGTTTACCCCTGCCACTCATATAATCAACTTGATAATACTCTTTATCACATCGTATGAGGACACAGTATCTGTTTTTGTCATTGCCTAAAAGGACACCATCACCAGTATGCTTCAACACTATGGGTTCTCATAAAGAATTTTAATAATTGCAGTTGGATAAAAAGTAAGAGGCCCAATGAGGCATGAGTTTTATTTTGCAATTCCATTATATAAATATAATTAATACTGTACATATTTTACTTCTATTATTTGACATTCTTTCTGTATAACATGTTAGTAATACAGTATTATATTGTACAAATTTTCAACACTATTAGCCATTTATATACAGTACATGGGTATATGAACTTCAATCATTTCATAAAGCAGCAAATGCAATGCAGTCCTTCATCATCAACATTACAGCCATTTTCCAAGCTTGCTATATTTCATAAATACAAACAGTACAGTATAGCATTCTATCATTCCATGGGGAGGAGGAGGAGGAGGACTAGGTCTTAAAATATGGTTTAATGGGGGAGGACTGCCCGAACTGTGTGGGGTTACCCCCTTAATTGAAACCCAGTACAAGTGCTCCTCTACTTACGAACGAGAGACGTTCCTGAGGCTTGTTTGTAAGTCCAACTTTACTCTTGTAGATACCAAACATATTATAAAAAATAAAAAGATTAAGGTTATTTAGTACACCTATACCCTTTAATAGAGCCTTAAAATCTGCCTCACTCTTCTCCTCTTGGGTAATGTTTGTTCTATTTGGAATTTTCTTCAAAATAATCCAGTCTCATCCACATTAAACACCTGTTCTGGCAGGTAACTCCCCTCAGTGATGATGTTTGTATCTCTGAAAGTTTGTAAGTTGAACGTTCTTAAGTAGAGGAGAACCTGTACTATACCAATTGTTTACATGTCTGTTTAATATACATATATATATATATATTTGGCACACCTACGGCATACCAAATTCATTAGACACAATATTTACAGTCAGCAATACTACAATACAGTATACAGTAACATCAATGCTCATTGAATAACTTGACCACCCCATTTTGTTGGAATCAGAACAAGGTTAACAGAAATACGGAAAAATTCTTAACTACTTGCTGAACACTACTTCATAACCCAAACACTTATTTACAGTAGTGCAGTACTCCCATGCATTCTCCATAGATATTTATATACAGTACAGTACTTGCTACCTACAGTACATCCTTTACAACTACAAGATTTCCTGACTATATTATACCACTCCCTTATTACTTCAACACTACTATTGCAACACTTCCTTGTCACTACAACACCCCCTTACCACTACAACACTCCCTTACCACTACCACTACAACACTCCCTACAACACCCTTACCACTACAACACTCCCTTTCTACAACACTCCCTTGCCACTCCTTACCACACTCCCTTGCCACTACTCAACACTCTGCTTACAACACCCTTACCACTAACACTCCTTACCACTGCACTACCACTTCCTGCCCACTAGCCTCCTTACCACTCACAACACTCCTCACAACATACTACAACACTACAACACTACAACACTTTCTCCCTTCCCATCGCCACAACACTCCACACTCACTACAACACTTTACACTCTAACTCCCCTAACTACAACCCACCTTCCACTACAACACCACCCCCTTATCACACTCCCTTTACACTACACCACCACCCTACCACTCATCTACAACACACCTCTTATCCTACCAACACCCCCCTTTATCACTACAACACCACCACTTACAACACCCCTTACCACTACAACACTCTTACCACTTACACTACACCCTACCCACTCTCTTATATCCTTACTTATAACAACACACTACCCTAAACACCCTTACCACTACAACACCCCCTTATCACTACACTACCTCTTATTACCACTACATACACCCTGTACTATCACACTCTCACCACTACACTCACACTTTCTGCTTACCAACACCCCTCACTCCAACACCTATCAACACTCCTTTACACTACACCACTACAACACCCCTTACTACAACACTACACAACTACCACTTAACAACACACACTCTTACTACACTACCCTTACCACACCCCCTTACAACACTCCTTACACACACTACACTACACACCCCTATCACACCACTACCTTACCACTACTACAACACCCCTTACACTGCAAATACTTACACTACTTACTACTCTTAAACACCTCATTACCACTACAACACACTTATCAATACTCCTTATCTCTACAACAACTCTTACCACTACAACACCCCTTACACTACAACACTACCTCTTAAACACCCTCTTACCCTACAACACCCCTTACACTACCTATCACTACACCTACTTCTTTACTACTACAACACCCCCATATCACAACCCTTCACTATAACACTACCTCTTAAACACCCCACCACTACACAACACACTAGCACCACTTTTATACTACTACAACACTCTTAAACACCCTTACCACTACAACACCCCTTATCACTATAACACTACCTCTTAAACACCCTTACCACTACAACACCCCCTTATCACTACTAACCTTACCTCCTTAAACACCCATACACACCCTTACAACACCCCCTTATCACTACAACACTACCTCTTAACACCCTTACCACTACAACACCTACCTTACAACACCCCTTATCACTATTCACTAATACTACCTTAAACACCCTTACCACACAACATCCCTTTATCACTACCTCTAAAACACCCTTACCTTTTAAATCACAACCCTACACTCAACACCACTGCTACCCCCTTATCACTACACTACCTCTAAAACTACCTTACACACCCTTACCACTACAACACCCCTTATCACACCCCTTAACACACTACTAAACACCCTACTACTACCCACCTTACACACTAAACACTTACCTACACAACACTACCACTTACACACACACCTCCAATCACACCTTAACACCACCAACACCCTTATACTACAACTTCCCACTATAACTAACACTACCTCTTAAAACACCCTTACCACTACAACACCCCTTATCACAACTACCTCTTATCACTACCCTACTTTACTACACAACACCCTTATCACAACTCTTTTCACTACAAACTACCTTATACCACCACTAACACCCCTTATCACTACAACACTACTAAACACCCCTTATCACTGCAACACTGCCTCACACTACCCTACACACACACCCCTTCTACTACACACTATTAACACCTCCTCTCAACAACACCCTTACAACACTACAACACCCCCTTATCACTCAAACAACCTCTTAAACAGCCTTACCACTACAACACCCCTTATCACTACAACACTATCTCTTAAACACCCTTACCACTACAACACCCCCTTATCACTACAACACTATCTCTTAAACACCCTTACCACTACAACACCCCCTTATCACAACTCCCTATCACTACACCACTTCTTTACTACTACAACACCCCCTTATCACAACCCCCTTATCACTACAACACTACCTCTAAAACACCCCCTTATCACTATAACACTACCTCTTAAACACCCTTACCACTACAACACCCCCTTATCACTACAACACTACCTCTAAAACACCCTTACCAATACAATACAGTATGCCCTCCATAAATCAATATTCCCTCACTAAATCAACTATCACCATTCCAGTGGCCTTTACTCAAAAACATGTAATGACATAATCTCTAAAATCATGACAGTACACATCTCCCATATTTTATACAAGTATTTTAGGCACTGGATATATCATAAAAAATTATAAAGTATAATAAACTCACCTGTAGACGAACTTCTGCCCGAGAACCTTCTTGATGATATTCTTGTCATAATAATAGCGTAGTGCACGGGACAACTTGTCATAGTTCATATTAGTCTTGTTCTTGCGGAGGCCCCACAGCCGGGCCACCTCCTCGGCATTGAGCAGCTTAAATTCTCCCTCAGAGTTGGTCCACGAGATGATATGTTTATAATGGTTACTCAGGAGCAGTTCCAGCAAGAACTGCCACAGTGTGATGTTGTTCACCATTCCATCTATAAAGTAAAAGTATATACAATATATTAGTTACATGACGTATATACATATCTACATTTACAATACTTATGTGTACTGTACTTGCGTCTCCTGTGCTTCCTTAATTTGTAATTCAATTTTAATAAAAAAAATAAAAAAATAACCATTATCTTGGGATGTAATATTAATACTGTACTTAACAATTATCTTATTACTACTGACTCCCTGTTTACCATTACTTATACCATCTGTAGGATTACAAGAGTGAAATCAAGTCATTGCGTCAGTGATATTGTCTGATTAATTTCCTTGAGTGGTATCTACAGTATATGATTTTTAAGTGCTGAAAGAATGAGCCGGGGTCCATCTCGCAAAATCGTAGGTAATTCAGTTCAGCCGGAAAAAAAAGATGTCCGCAACGGGCATATAAATGTTTATATGAACACTTGAAGTCATCACACAAACTTCGCTTCTGGGAACATTAAATTACAACATCCAGTCTGATACAAAAGAGCTGGAAATTCTAATATGGCTGATGATGAATTCCCAATTCTTGTTTCCTCACTCGTATATGACAACATTTGTTGCTTCTATCTAGTAAGTGATGATTACACCACTAAATGAGTGTCCTAGTCATTCACTTGGTTTTATTTTACTAGTTAAGCTAACATACTCGTTTCACAAATAAAGCAAGGTCACACGCAGTAGTTCACTGTGGCTGGCCTAAGTCATGCGAAAATCTCTTTACAGTACTGTACTGTGAGGACACCCCCCTCTACTGTTCGTTCTTGCATTGGTCAATGTCTTATTGGGGAAGTGGGTGAACACAGAAGTTAGGGTGTGTTAGGAGAATCATAGTGTTGTGAGAAAAATTCACATTTAAACAGAAAATTCATACAGGAAGTCTGGTGAGAATCTATAAGGTGACGACTACACCCTAAATAGGTAATGTGGGGTCCAAAAATCTCTACGCCGAGCTTATATGAACATACTGTATACTCAGCTATTTTTTTTCATTTTCAGTCAGAAGCCTGGCTAAGACCATTAAATTTCATAAAATGTAACTTCCTGATTTTTTTTCCTCTGGAGTCTCTGGAACTCCCCATTACCTTAAGTTTATAACATTTATACCAATACCTATCTTGGGCTAATTTGATGTGTGTGAGAACGGTGATTGGGGATCCTGAGGCAGCACAAGGATGGATAATTGTGTCGTGTTAAAACACTATAGCTGACAACAGAAGCCTCTAATACTGCAGCACAGAATCGTAGCTGTGAAGGCGATGCAGGCATGGATTATGTCACCTATTTCAAAATAATATAAGGATTAGAACATGTTCGCTCTAGTATGCTGAGCTACAAGCTCAACGGCAGCTGATAGGTCAGACAACAACTTTGTTTACTGCCATCACCTCTAGTACTGGTGATCACTCTCTTTTACCTCATCATGGTGTGGGAGTGCCCGCCCTCAACGTCAGCCAGCCAGGGACCATGCCACGCTACCGCCCTTGGTGACCAGTGACGCAGTCTTTCTCCTTGTTCCACCCTGCACCCAACGTGTTCTCACTCCCACAGTGGTATCCTGCACCCACAGTGTCCTCACGCCCATAGGAGTACACTGCACTCTAGTGTTCTCACGCCCATAGCAGTAACTTGCACCCATTGTCTCCACCCCCACAATAGTACCCTGCACACAATATCCTCACAGCAGTTACCCTGCACCGTGTCCTAACGCCCGCAGCGGCGGGGATGTAATTACCACAATCAATCAATGAATCACGCCAACAAGAGTACCCTACACTTAGCGTCCTCACGTCCATAATAGTACCCTGCATCCACAGTAACCTTACGCCTCCAGTAGTAATGGCACCCGTACTGCCCTCACGCCCATGATGTTTTCGGATCTACAGTAGCACCCTCGAACACAATACCCCCATGCCCACAGTACCCTTTCCCCACAGTACCTCTCTCTCCCTCCCTGGGCAGCGGGCGCGGGCGGCGTCAACAAGGTATCTCCGGTGTAGCGCGCAACGTCACCCTGGACGCCATGCGGGCGGGGGCGGGAAGTGCCAATTGTCGTCCGATTACGCCCATTCTGCCAATTACCACGCCCATCACAGCCCGGCGTCACTGTCGCCACACGGATTGTCTACCACAATGGGGGGTCGGGTGAACCCTCCCCACCGTGGCTCAAGTTGCCTTCGCCAATTACACAACAAATAAAGTGTGCCGTAGAGTGGCCGTGCCTTGTTGGTGACGGTCATTGGAGCTCACTGTTGCCACGACCACTAAACACTATATCAAGATTCAAGAGTAACCATTTTGCATCTTAAAATTTGAAACAGATAATACCACCATTATAAATATAATCACATGATACAACAAAGGGGGATGTTAAAAATGAAATATTCAAACAGGTTCAGTCACGATAAAGAAATCACTGCATTAAGGTTAACTGAAAATTTTAGCACAAGATACAAGGTTTCACACCCAACAAACACCAAATGAATTATCAACACCATGTGGCAAGCAGAGGTTACCATACTGCACTACAACCTGTTACAATCAATGTTGAAAGGTTCCACGGACGAACTTTGGAATGAATTGATAAATTCTAAAATCAATATCCATCTAGACGAGCTACAGCACTTGGGATTCCAAGGGAATATAATATTAAAACTTGAGGGATTAAAATGAAACCCCAAGATAACCTACACCATTATCTCTGCATATCTAAAAATAGTTTCTCATCTATTTATGAATCTCTCTGAGCGACGACTTTAAGTCTATGATTGACATCGAAGTGATTAATGTAATCATACCGTACATACCCAGGAGGCTTTTCATATATCGTAAAGAATGTTTACATTAAGATCCAATGACAAGCACCGTTTTTTTTTCATCTGAAAATTATATGAAGTATTGATCTGATCCAGAATAACTGGAGTCACCTGACAATTTAAGGTTTGGTTCAGCTTCTTTTTTTTATTGAACAAAAGCTACATTTACAAATTGATCGCTCTGAAACTGACTCCTTTCCTTCATCAAATAATACGTTTCCTGCAATAGTGCAGAGTGACATGACAAGTGATAATCATCGTAATCAGCAGTGTTACCCAACCTTCTTTGGTAGGATGTTGGACTATTATTTACACACAAAAAATAAATCTAACCATAATTTACACATAAGGTTAATATGCAAGATACTTTTGCATATATGTATGTATGTAAATTTGTCAAGTACTAGTATTTGGATACTATAATCATAGAAACTGGATAGCCGTGTTTTGTGGTTTGGTGTACTGTACGTGTTCTGGTTTTGTTGTCATCATGCAGTTTATATGGACAGAACAACGTCGACTCTGACCGACTGATTAAAGTAGTTTCTGAAATAAAAATATGTTTTGGCATCTACAAACAAACTTAAGAAATCTAACTTATTATTTAATATTATACATTCTACAATCTTCCATGATATAACAGTGCAGTATTGTACACAATATCTCTATAAAAACTCAACTTGCTCGTGCACAAGTCAAAAAGTCTCGCTAACTGAAATGCAATTTATTACCCTAATCCTAATGCAATACGTGGTACCTAACCGTATGTGATATTTAATGAATAATTTTATTCTTTTAAAACATATCATAATTTTAAATAATGAGTTCCTCATTGCCAGAGGTCACTAGTGTGTAAGTATCGTGCGGCTGTGTGGCCGCAGCAGAAGTCCTCAACCTTAATATACTATTTTTTTTATAGTCGGCCACTCAACTGGCAAGTGATCAGTGATCGGCCGCAGCTGTATTCAGGCAACACAAGTCAACAATACACTCCACAGGATTGTATGAGCAATCAGAAATGCAGGACTACATTTTACTTTAAGAATTCTGATAAACAATACTGAAATGCTGGCTAAATCGAAGTTTAAATAAATTTATACTGCACTGAATAGTTATAATGCAAAAATGGAATTAGCGGCTCTAGCCTAATATTGTTTTGTTAAACCGGGAAACAGAACCCTTTCACCTGTACAAGTAGTTTCCTGGCAATGCTAAATAAATTATTCACATTAGAAATACAGAAATGGAGGGGAAAACAATTTACTAAATATTACGATATTATGTACAGTAAAGAAACAAAATAGCCTCATGTGATATTGTTATAAATAAAAAACTGCCTTTCGGGTGTTATTAAGGAAGCACAAATTTGGCTTTTTGCAAAACACTATAAAGGCTCACATTCCAAATACAAATGCACAGAACCATATCAAATCTAATGTGAGTTTTGTGCCTGGCTGATTTGAAAATTCAGCAAAATTTAGTTCAAATTTCATAGCAATAGCCTTCACAAGTTCTGAGTGCGAGTGTTGGTAATTTTGAATGGCACTTGTTAAATAAAAGTCAGCACCGTGAATGTCTGCTCGCAGCAGTACGTTGATTCGAACATTTAAAGAACGATGAAAGTTCTTTCCTCGAGTATTTCCTCCATCCACTTCTTTTTATTGTTCACCTATAAAACACGTAATTATAACAATCTTACCAGCCGCATGGTCCGAATTTTGGAGGTCGTTCCGCCCGGCGCACATATAACTACAGTACTATGGAAAAAAGAGGGTTGCGGACCCCTGTCCTCCAGTGTACATTAGGTCATTCAAATCAGTCAATCATAAGCCGCCGCTCGCTAAGCCATATTTGTTGTCTTTGCACAACAGGGAGCCAGCTTTGAGGCGAAACGTCACATCATTCGTATCGGGATAGTTTATGAGTCATTTAAAAGGGTAGCGCTAAAGCTAACCGATGAACAAACAAACACCTTGTCCATGAGGTAGCGCTAAAGCTAACCGATGAACAAACAAACACCTTGTCCCTTTACAAATACGAATAGTTGCTAATAGTGTGTGTCTAGCATGATGATGTAAGTGTGTTGGCGCCTGGTGTCGGCTCTCAAACAAAACAACCAAGCGGTAGCCTATTAACACGTAGTCACCCTGGGTGATGGACAGTCACTCGCACCTAGTAAC